GTACCGTGCAAAAGGGCCCATCTTAGGTAAGGGATCTTGAAATGTTTTTATGCCTTGTGCTAACTTATTCTAGATGTGACGGTACGTTTCTAAAAGTTTCTAGTTTGAGCGCATGTCGATTTCCCCTTCAAAATATTCACCTACACATTAAAACTCGTTTACCTTTATTCACTATCCAAAGACACTCTTAATAAGAGTCAATGGTCGAAGGCTGTCCAAAATGCGATTCAAGGGAGCAAAATGATCATTACATTCTCAAGCGAGAATACCAATGATTATGAAAACATGATTTGCCAGGCAAATGATTTCATACGAGCCCAGCGCACTCAAATCTTCGTGAAGACAATGTGTTTGTTTAGTAATATGCTCCAGTAGCTATTAGTGGCAGCTCCAGCGGCTCGATCGGCAATTCCAATTGCCGCGTTTGGCACTAAGGGAATGAACAAGTACAGAATCGAAAGTTGGATCAAGTGACGACTATCTTTTCGGCCTTCGCGTCAAACACGTATAGAGTATTATTTTTGGGTGTGTGGCGTGCAGAGTGCTAAGAAATCTCTCATGTTTACCATGAGATGTTCCCGATCCTAATCTATCTATCCATGTATTTTGCAGCATGTACTAGGTAGGGTGTCGTACAACACGAGGTGCTCTTGTACTAGGCTTGGCTAAACACTCAACTAAAGCTTTGGGACAATGATTACCTATGGATATGAAACTTTCAGATACGTACCAAGCGGTCAAAATCCGCATGGAAATCTCTCTAAGCTTCACAAGATGATCCTAAATTTATTGCGCAACCTGTAGAGGTTCAACTCAAAATATTCAATTACTAATCTTACTATACTTTTAGCTCAACGGCCATGTTCGAGATGTCTGAGCAATGGGAAGGAGGATACTTGTGTGGATGTTCAACATAAAAAAAGAGGGCGTCCGAGGCTGAGAGATGAGCGCGAGCCTCGATACGAAGGAGCAGCATCGAATTACCCACCGTCGGCAGATACTATGAGAAGACCAATGCCCATGTTCTCTACTAGCGAAGTCTCAATTTCGACTCCATATTCTGACGCCCAGCGGAATAATGGGTACAGAGTGCTCAAGTCGCAAGGAGGAAACCCAATGAATCACTCCATGGTTCCCACACCAATAAATACCAATGTTTACGGGGAAGCGATGACGACAAATCAGCGTATAGTACCTTATGAACCGGCTTGTGCATTCCTGACCATGGAAATGCAAATTGCCAAAACAACGCAGGCTTTTTCGGGAGTGGTCGGTGCACACTCGGTCGTGGGGAGAAAGTTACATGATATTGTGAGTGTTAGCGATCGAGATAAGATTTTCCGGCTACAGAGTGGATTTGAAGATGAGCGACGAAGTCGAGATCCAAGTTATCTCCCTCCGATATTTTCGAAAGAGGAAGAAGATAGGGTGATTCAGTCCTTGACTTTTGCACCGAACGAAATGCAGCAATTGAGAACCGATCGGCCGGAAGTCTTTACATTCCAGACACCAGACGGTCAGCAGAGGGGTTTTCACGTGCAATTGGGTCTTGCGAAAAAGGATTCGATTTATTTTGTGCTTCTGGTGGTTCACATCCCAACCACGCCGCAAGCATTCCAACAAGCATCTTCGCCCTATTCGAGAGACTCTTTGTCACGTGACTCCACTTATGCATACCAAACTCCAAGCCAATTATCCTATGCCTCTCAAACCCCAGGGACGTCGCCGTTCATGTCAAACCCTCCTTTTGGAAGCGACATGCTAGCATATCGAAATCCAGGACCTCCAGCGCAAACTGTGCCCATGCCAAATAATAATTCTTCGTACGGACAACCCCAAGCACGAGCGCCGGAATATTCCCGCGCGCAAATCAACTACCAGCAAGCGTCCATGGGTGAAATGTTATCAGGTCAAGCACAACCCCAAGCACAACCACCACAGCAAGCACAAGCACAAGCGTCCTCGCAACCCCAACCCCAGACGCAAACTCAACGAGCCTCGGATCTGCAACTCCCGCCCATACGTGGACAGGCGCCTCCGATGGATGTCAGGGCTCAGGGTGATCGTAGTAGTCGGGTGGATATTGGTGGACTCCTGCAAAATCTGGATCCCTCTCGAAGAAGGAATTAAATCTCACATTTATACGCGGGCGAGCGGGCGCTAGGGCGCTATCTAATTAATTAATTCTTTAACATCATGTGCATATCCATCTCTATCTCGCCGTCTCTCTCTCTCTCTCTCTCTCTCTCTCTCTCTCTCTCGCCTTCCGATCTTGTAATTTTTTGAGAAATGAAAATTTATTTTCTACTTCTGCTAGGCGGATGGGATGGGATGGGATGGGATTAGGTGAAACGCGACAGAATCGATTGATGAGTTGGGGATTGGAAAGGTTTTGGAACGATCAGGAATTTACCCCTTTACGTAGGCAGGCAGGCAGGCAGGCAGGCAGGCAGGTGGACATGCATGTAAAACTTACAGAACGGGAGTTTAAAGGGGGATAGGAGAATTTTTTTTTGGAAGGGCTTTCATCCTCCGTGTTGTTATTATTCATGGGTTATCATCCATTGTTCGATTCTTGTATTATGTATTTTTTTATTGTATGTTGAATGGATGCTGAGCTAAGTCATATCGAGTCAAGTCAAGTCAAGTCAAGTCAAGTCGAGTCGAGTTGAAATAATTTTATGTTATTTTATGTTATGCTACATTATGCTGTTCTTGATTATGTTGTTTTGTGTTCTCTTGTAGTGTCTGTCTGTCTGATCTTGTTTGCTGTTGTTCTGGGAAAAATATAAGCATGTGTTTATATATATATACATACTTACTTATTTGTTTATAGTGAGTTTTTGATCATTTATTGTATATTTTATTCAGTGTTTTGAGCGGGATCTTTTTGGTTATGTTTTGAGGTTTTGATGTTTTGTAAAAATACATGTTTTTCTAGAGAGGAGGGGAATGAAATTCATCACATTTGATTCAAATCACTTTGTATCGGATAGAATGGAATGATGTATTGTTTAAGACGATTCGTTTTGTTCATTTCTTCGCTGGATTGGGGTTTGCGATTTGAGACTTGATTTTGAGACTTGATTTTGAGACTTGGCTTGACTTGGATGGATGGATGGATGGGAGAAATTGGGATTGAAATTTGAGTTTGGATTGGGTATAGAATTGGGATTGGGATTTGAGTATGGGCTTGAGATTGGTTTTAGGATTGGAAATGGATATTGGAAATGGATATTCTGTAAGTTATTGGTATTGGACACTCATTATAAGGATTGAAAGGGATTCGGGTTGAATTTTGGTGGATGGGGAGGGTGGTGAGTGAATGAATGAATGAATGAATGAATGAAGGAACGGGGGAGGGAATAGGTGGAGGGGATTTAATGGAATCAAAAAATGATGGAAATGAGAATGCAGATGGAGGAGTGGAGGGGAACAAAATGGTTGAGAATGAGAATGAGAATGAGCTAGATATTAGGCGATGATGAATATGATATTTGATGATTTATAGTCAAAGTGATGGAGATAATAGGAAGTTTTAAAGATTCTTTTATATTCTAAGTTTTTAAGATTCTAAATTGTTAAGAAGCGAGATAGAGATGAGAGAGCGGAAGTGTTTTGATGAAGATTTATGGGGTGAGTGTTGTGGCTTTGTATGGTGTGATGTGATGTGATGGCATGTGATGGCATGTGTATGAAGTAATATGTGGTATGCGATTGTTACGGAATCCTACACTTTAAGCGAAGGAGAGTGGGAAATCGAGGTTAGGGGGGAGGTAGATTTTCAAGTTCAAGGATTCCATATAATCTTACAATGATTCGAGAGAATCGGAGAAAGAAATCGAGTGATATAAGGTGGCTTGGTGTTTTTCTATGCATAGTTCTTTATATGTATCGTTGGAAGATTGATTGATTCGTGGTTGGTTGATAGATAGATTGATTAAGGATCTGGGATAGTTTGACTTTGATATTGGAGTTGTTGTGCTTGTTTTTGGTAGTGGATTGGGTTAGATTGTGTTGAGTTGACTGATTCATTAAAAATCTAGAGTATAGGGATAGGGGTGTTTGCCATTCGTTTGGTCGTTTTTCTTGTAAGGAATCGGGGAGGAAGTAGACAGTTGAGGGCTGGGGGCTGAGGGTTGGAGTTTTGATTTGTGAGTATATATATTTGTGTGTATATTGAGTATTAGATTTGCACGGATTTTAGAGGGGGGAAGTGGTGGGTGTGTGGGTGGGTGTTGTCGAGGTAGGTAGTGGGTGAATGAGGGTTGGAATGGGAAAGGGGTCAAAATAATGGGTAGGTATGGTGAGTGAGTATGTTTGTAGTAAGACCGGATGAATAAGCATTGGAGAAATTACATGAAAACCATGTACTTGCTGAATGTATAGAGGGTGGTCAAGAAAGATCTGACAAGGGTGCATCGATTGGTTAGGTGTGTTTTCGTTTGATGAAAGGTTGGGTGTTTGTTGGATGGTGGACGAATCGATCGGTTTAACACTTCAACTACTCATGTAGTGTCGCTAGAGTGACGGAAGTATCTAGAATAGCATGTTGAGAAGCCCTTCGGCTTCGAAGATATCACAGAAAACGTGCTAATCTATATTATTATCCGGTTCAGTCAGCACGTCAATGAAAATTGCTCTCCTTTCGCGAATAGATTGCTCTAGGAATTCCCGGCAGAGGTCAGCAAGGGGTTTTGTGACTACAAATGGATCTTACCGTTGTCTGTTTTTGTTCGTCGATGACTGCTGCTATGCGAATGCAAAGTAATACTCTGTTTTTCTTGATCCAATAAATCTCACATAGTGAAAACTAGATAGCATAGATCGATCTCATAGTTACGCAAGGTCGTCAGCTGCACATAAAAATCACGTGCTGATGACAACCCCACACTTGCGAACGAGCAGCTCTAGGTATGCACCTCAACAAGGCTCTACTGGCCTTTAGATTGTCTATGAAACCATCTTAAGTTAATGTCTAATGTGTGATATCATCTACTATGTCTTCCTATTCATATTCATCGCTTCCAGCAAATGGCGACGACATCCGCCTGCTTCGATTATTACCTAGTGAAGATGAGGCTGCACTTTTGCATTGCGAGCTTCGAGATTATTCTCTACGAAGATCAACTCCACGAACTAACTTGTACAAGGCTCTATGCTATGTATGGGGTGACCCACACAACACTCTGCCCATCTTTGTAGACAATTTGTCAAGTTCGTTCTCGGTAAAGATCTGTCCGTGAAGACTTCGGGTCAAACGGCGAGGATCGAATGCAAGGGCATTATTATTGGCCGGGTATCATCGGTAATCAGGGACAATAGACAGCACGTTAAGATTACATCTAATTCGAAGCTGAACGCTTAGACGACACAGTATGGACCCTTCAGGCTTCGGCGAAACCCATCCACGAACATGATATTATCTGTCGTCTATATGGATCTTCAAAGCCATCAATAATCCGGCTATGTATGGGACTGGGAGAATTCCTATAGAAGTATCCAAGATGGAAGAGAATATAAAGTCTTGGCAAAGGAATTTAGTCAAGCGTCAGTGTTTTCGAGAGTAGAGCCTGGAGGATATCTAGAGAAAGCAACTAGATTGTGGAACAATATAGCGATATTGTATGATTTGGAAGAATACAAAGAAGCAGATAAGAGACTTGAAGCAGTACAAGATGAGTACTATTTGGCAGAATTTGGTAGAATGCCATCATCGTATGAGTCGGAGAGTGAATGCGATCGGACGGTACTAGCATTCGCTGCTGCTTGACATAATTCATCTAGATGCAAAGGATGGGCAAGGTGGTCGAAACCCGCTATCGCTTGTTATTTCAAATGGATATGGAGCTATTGTGAAACTAGTACTCGCTTCTAGCCAGAGTGAAGTCAACTTGAAAGATGCTTGGGGTTGGACGCCATTATCATGGACTGCTAAGTGTGGGCATGAGGCTGTTGTAAAGCTACTACTTAATAATGATCAAGTTGAAGCTGATTCGAAAGATAATCAGCATCGGACGCCATTATCTTGGGCTGTTGGAAACGGACATGAAGCTATTGTGAAACTACTAATCGCTTCTAGCCAGGTTGAAATTGATTCGAAGACTAGCTTCAATCAAACATTGTTATTTCCGGCTGCTAAGAATGGGTATGAGATAATTGTCAAACTATTATTAGCAATTGGCCAGGTTGAAGCTGACTCAAAGGATTGTGTCAAGCGAACATCGCTATCATGGGCTGCTGAGAATGGTTATGAAGCTGTTGTGAAGCTACTATTAGCAACCAGCCAGGTTGACGCTGAATCGAAGGACATATTCAATATAGCGCCGCTATCATACGCTAGGGGATCCGATCATGTGGCTATTGTTAAACTATTAAAGAACCAAGCTAGAAACCATACCGCTTAGAAATACAGTAGATTAGAGGATCCTATCTGGTTGGTTTGAGAAGCTAAATATAAGAACTTAAATCGAGGACTTTACTATTTCTCTACTATAAATATGTAATAGAACACGAGGAATAAAAGAACTTGAGGAAGAAAATCCGCTAATATTTATCTACTTCTATGTAAATCGTTATATTTAACTATTCTCAAAACAGACTAATGATTGTAAGGGTGTCCTACTGTCTGTAGTACTAGGGCACTTCTACTTGACATTTTACATCAAAACTCATTATATAAACACACTTAATTTTAAATAAAGCAATCTACTTATTATAAAGATATTTATATTAATTTACTTATTTTTATATCTTATTTAATAAAAACTATTCAATCTATTTTTAGAGATTCTATTTATTATGAAATATTCATTTAAAGTTACAGGATTTTAGATTATTTAAATTTATCATCAAAATAAGCGAATTTTAAAGAACTTTTTAATTCTGTAATTTCAAAGAATTATATTATACTTTTCAATCATTTTATATATTGATAATATATAAATTCAATGATTATTAAATTTTAATTTGATAAAATTATTTAATAAAATAATAATCTATTTTTCAAATGATAGTAAAATGACTTATTTTTGTGTGTTTTTGAAATCGATCAAGTAGAAGTATATGATTACTATATATTACTTTAATAATAGGCTTTTTATATTAAATAAACTTTTTTAATCAAATAATGTAACTTTATAATAGGATTAGTTGATCTCTTTTTAAAAAAATTAATCTTATTTTCCCTTTAGAATATTAACTAACAGCTATATTATTTGATTTAAAAAGTTTACTTAATTTCAAAAGCTTACTATCAAATAAACATAGGTAGTAGAACACTCCTACAATTGATTCGTAAATTTGATTTCTATATTCATTGTCAGAGCAAGTACGTCGTGGACGTATTTACAGGGGAGAATCCGTAGGGGGATCTACATTTTACATACTTTGATATGACGTGACGCGTTTTGAAACTCGGTAGGTAATAGCTCGTAGTTACCCGACTAGTCGAGCTACTCGAGTAAAGATCTTATTAATAATCTCTTACATCTAGTATCTTTTAGTTTTCACCGTGATATTTCCAGACAGTTTGAGTGCAACAGTTCTACTTATTTAATAACAACAGAAGAATGCAATCGGAGCAAGTATAAAAATGTTTGTTAATATGTCTAATATCTAGAAATATGAGTCTGCATTGTTGTTCGGAAAAACAAATTCATCGTGGGGGGACGACGCTACTAAAGTCTTGTCGTCATCATTCCTGTCAACAATAACAAACGTCAAATAAACAAACAATCTTTATACAACACAATACAATGTAACTACCTAGCTAACTCAATACTTGAGCTTCTCTCAAAATTACAATTGTCCATGTTGATATCTTGACATTCCAATGACTTGATTCTTTACATCAACCAAATCAAAATGCCTCTCGACGCTCGTTCTCCTGTGATTCTACACTACCTTCAGAATCTCTTCCTCATTACGCTTTGCGCAGCTTTCACTCCTCTTTTAACATCAATAGCTATACTCTCCACCCTCTTATCGCCCCTCATCACCTCGAAACGAATCCAACACCCCTCCAAATGGCGCACAAACTCTAATAAATCTCCTCCCCGCACAATCCTAGTAACAGGGGTAGGAATGAGCAAAGGCCTCAGCATCGCGCGCTCTTTCTACCGCGCAGGCCACCGGGTCATTGGCGCAGATTTCGAACCCTACTATATCCCCGTCTCTGGACATTTCTCCAAATCACTCGGAAAGTTCTACCGTCTGCGGAAACCGGGGGGAACATCAGGAGCAGAGGAATATACCAGGGATATTGTGAATATTCTTGAGAAAGAAAAGGTGGATTTATGGGTATCGTGTTCGGGTGTTGCATCTGCGATTGAAGATGGAGAGGCGGCGGAAATGGTGCAGCGGAATACAAAATGTGCGGTGGTGCAGTTTGGGGTGGGGTTGACGGAGACGCTGCATGAAAAATTCTCGTTCATTAAATATACGATGGACTTGGCTTTGAATGTGCCGCTTACGTATAAGATTCATTCGTCTGAGGAAGCTTTGGAGATCTTGCATCCGGAGAATGGATCATCGGTGGATAAACAGTTTATCATGAAACCAGAAATGGTCGATGATAGTGTGAGGGCTGATATGACTCTACTCCCCTCTCCGTCACGCACACAAACAGATAAACATATTCAAAAACTCAACCCCTCGCTCAAAAGACCATTTGTTCTTCAACAATACATCAAAGGCAGAGAATACTGCACACATAGTATTGTTCTCAAAGGCAAAATCCACGCATTTGTCTCATGTCGCTCTTCAGATATATTAATGCACTACAAAGCTCTTCCGCCTTCATCAGCTCTTGCAAAAGCCATGTTTCATTACACTACTCTATATATTCAACGGGCCGCGGAAAGAACTCCCAATTCTCCCATCACAGGACATTTTTCTCTCGATTTTCTCATCGACGAGGAAATTGCTCAGAACGCAGAGGGCTCTCTCCATCCTTCGTCTAAAGAAATCGAGAAATTGCAAAGAGAACTATTCCCTATTGAATGTAATCCCCGCGCCCACACAGCGGTGGTTCTACTTAATGATTCTGCGGAAGAAATGGCAGAGGCTTATTTATCACTATTATCCGACGATGGCACTAATGGAATTGAAGATACACCTCTAACCGCACTCCAAAAAAACGAAGATCCAATAACTCCTCTTTCTCAAGTCGTCAACGGAGGTTATTATTGGATCGGCCATGATTTCGTCACGAAGATACTTCTCCCAATCTATCACTTGATCAGCTTCCAAAAGGGGATTACCAATCTAGTAAGAGAGTGGTGGGAATTCGGTAAACATGTATTACTGTGGAAAGATGGCACGTATGAGATTTGGGATCCTTGGCCAGCGTGGTGTTTGTATGTCGTGTTTTTGCCAGGATGTTTCTGGGCGAGTTTGTGGGAGAGGAAGTGGTGGAGTAGGTGTAATGTTAGTACGGGGAAGTTTTTTGGGGTTTGAGGGGGCGTGATATTGTGATGCTGTGGGAGTGTGAGGGTACGAGGGTGCGAGGGTATGGGGAGGTTATGATGGCATGAGAGTTAGTGATTTTGGAGGAAGAGGTTTCAGATACCATATATAGACTGCAGTCCTTAGAGCAAAGGTTCTTGATTTCCAGATTTAGTTGGAAGATTCGATGGATTTGAACTGTGCAATAACTTCCTTTCCAATTATCATACCCCTATTAATAAGTCGAGAAATAAAAGTGAGATTTTACATCCACTCCCAGAATCAGAGGTACTAGACACTCTCACCCTCACCCAACTTTCTTCCAGCTTGGTTTATTCTGCAGATTTGAAACTAGGACATTATAATCTTTACGTATAGATAGTCGAGTAGTTATACACAGTTGACTACCTATGATGTAATTATTTACCATCGAAATCTAGAATAAGTCACTCATCTAGGTGAGGACCGGAGTATACAGACTAGTTAAGCGGAGGAGGTTGACTGGGCTCTCGCTCAGTCCTAGCGAGATCTAATTCACAATTCGAATACCTACGTTTGGATGATACAGGTATCAGGCGGTCGTGGCTATGTAGCTCTTCTGGTTCAACTACCTATACTGTGTAGGTACCCAAACCTGCTGGCTAGTTGACGTGGAATGGAGTGAAGTGAGTGAGTGAAGATGAATATATATATTATAAAATAGACAGTATGTACAAAGCCTCTTATCTCAGCATATAAATAAATTCATACAAAACAACCAAGAAACATATCCAAAATCTCTCTTCTATAATTCTAAACATCATCTATCGCCCTATTCCCCCACCCTCTCTCACCATCTCATCTAATCCCATCCCATCCCATCTACTCCTTCTCTTTCCGCACCTTCCCCAGCCCCATCGACTCCCTCCTCAACCTTTCCCTCTCCGTCTTCTCCAACTTCCGCTTCAAATCACCCACCAACTTCGCCAACTTCTTCGTTCCCTTCTCCTCTAAACCCTTCTCCAACTTCGCCAATTTCTTCCTCGTCTTCTTCTCCTCCGCTTCCCGTTGCTCCTGCTGATTTCGCTGAATCTCTTTCCACACCTCCAACTGCTGTTTAGCATGTTCATCACACTCCTTCTTATCATACCGATGGAAAACATCCGTGGTCCAGAAATCCGCTTTCCAATCCCAAATCCGAGCGCCTGATCCATACTCCCTCAGAAATCCTCTGAGCCAATCATCCGCCTTGACCATTCTTAACCTGTGGCCTCTGATCTCAGGTAATTCATAAGGTCTTCTATCCATATGTCGTAGTTTATTTGCTTCATTTTCTCGTGACAAGATGATCGAACCATGTATAATACCCTCTCTCGATTGTCTGACATATCCTTTTATGGCTGTGCATTTTCCCTTGAAAGCTTCGATTAATTCTTCATTCGTTGTACCGAGGGGAATCCCCATAACCCTAAGACTGTTCTCAACATTCCTTTTTATCAATTTAGGATCTAAATATGTTGGTAATCCATAAATACTTTGCGATCGTTCGTGTAATCTCGCTTGACGGTTTGCTATCCTCATCTTCTTCTCTTCCTCTTGAGCCTGATCGATCTTGAATGGGAGCCCAACATGATTCGAGCATTCCGCCAACCTTTCGTTATATTTACTGTCTGGATCTATCCAATTGGCCCAACCTTCAAGACGCTTGGTACCACAATTCACACACTGGCGATCATAGATAACGTTTTGACAACCACATCCTTCAGATTTGCATGTCCAGACATCAGAGCGACGATGAAAAAGATCATCATCAGATGCTTGTGGAAAACCTCTATCACGTTGGGGGTATTCATTCGATTGGTTGTCATACCTTCCGGTCCACGTCATTGAGCGACTTTTAGCTTGAGAGAAAGCAGTATTATCGGATTCCTGTGCAAATTCTGTACTATTCTGAGTGTTTTCAATCGGTTGGTAGCCATTCATTTCAATGCCCCTATAATTAAATCCTCTGACTTGAGAATCAGAAGAATTACGATTGAAGGATTGATTCTGAAGTTCGATATTTATGGAATTGAAAGCACTTGTGCCACTCGAATGATATCTGGTCGTTGGGTCATTAGGTGCGGGCAGAGGGGCTTTTGACAGATCATGACCAGTAATTTTTGAAACATCCAGATTACTATCAACCACCGATTCATCGATAGAAGATGAAGAGACCTCAGATTCAACAAGATCCGAGACTTCTGAGACGCTCAGGTCTTCCTTGACTTCAGGAGCCGAAACCTTAGACCAACCGCCCGGAGTTGAATTCAAGATTTCTGATAACTTTCCAGTGATTGGACTTGTCAATTTTACCGGTATCTTCTGGAGTGGAGTCGAAAGTCTCTCTGAAGGTTCTTCTGAAGTAGAATCTTTCAACCTTGAATCGGGTGTTCGTTTGTCCTTATCTAAAGATCTGGATGACACTGACGGCAGCTCTAATCGTTTAATCGTTATCTCATCGAGAAGGCGGGCTAACATAGGTTCTATCTGTTGAAGATCCGGCGTGGGTGGAGGAGCGACGTCCTCACAAGACATACACACAGCAGTCGCGTAATCTCCATCGTGACTTATGCTCATTGGTACTATCTGATCCTCCTGTCCTGCTGCTGATTTAATGAGTGTGACGGGTGCTCTAGACCTGAGGTTATCCAGGGATGGGCTGTCAATTGTAATGTCGTGGAAATTCAATTTCCTCTTGCTGAATGCTTTCTTGGCTGCTTCTTTTGCCGCAAAACTGGACAATGTGGAGTTAGCCATAGCCTATTACGTGAATCTCGACTTCAATAAACTCACCGGCCAGCCACAAATCTCGCAACTCCTTGCACATTCTCTTTCAATTGAATTAAAATTGATTCCTCTTCCTCTTTTGTCAGTTTTTTCGGATCTTCTTGGGCGCCGTAGGTAGGCCATATCAAAGAACCAACAGGTTTATCATTCGCGGCAGTACTATTCAGCAGAGGCGTTTCTTTCGGGGTAACGAGTCCTATCAACGCCTCCAAGCTTTTCGCCTTCCATCTTTCTTGCTTTTCTATCTTCCCTTGAATGAATTCCCTTCGTTCCATGAAATATAGGTATTCAATCAAGGGCAATAATCTCGGTCGATACCACACTTGCTCCTGTGGAGTGAATATCCTTCTGATAAATCGATGTGCATATTTCGATTGATGCTTTGTTAGGATATCCTGAATGCGACTGATCCTGCAGATGTCGGTTCCAATGTTAACAGGAAATGGGAATGTTCGTGGCATATTGAGTAAAAATTGGTCATATAGGTGCTGTATGGTATATTTGTCTCATAGTGGCGCTACACATGTCGCTCCTCATCTGCAATGACATGAAGGGAATTGAATTGTGTTATCGAAGGAATTTTTTCCCCAAAGTTTCTTATCCGATACAGAAGCTCGGGCCCACTACGCGAAAGCACCTGATGAGACGGATTTCCGCATCTATTTATGACCTTTACCTTCATCGACATTCAACTTGTGAAAGTGTCTCGGTGTATATAACTTATTGTTGCTACTTTGCTGGGGTTCAACACCTATTGATCAATTCATTGAAAATGGCAATCATTGTTATACTTATCTGTGCACTACAAGTATTGACAGTGAAAAGACTTTAATCACTATATAGCTTCAACTTCTAACTTGCAAGAAGATCACTCAATTATTCCACACAATTACATTCCAAGAATCGGAATAGAGGAGAATATTGCAACGTTGATGCATACACAGATTCAATTTGTCTGATAACTCCAAATCTAGGATTGTGATAGATCTCGCATTGTCTGTCAAAACCCCAAAATAAGAAATAATAATGGAAGAATGTCCCCCAAATCCTTGCGTAACACCTATTAACCCAGAGAGTCTCCATGACATGACATGACATCACAAACTTCCCGTACTATTTTAAACCCCTCCTGCATCGTGCCGTTTTTTCAGATTTTGACCAACCCTCGTGATATTATGGTATCCATGAACAAGTTTTGCCTAGGCAATGATTGAAACCACAACATCACAGTCATTTCCACCAATCTAGTGGTCGTCCAAAAGAGGGGCTCTCTCTTGATCCTCAGACGCTAGTGGAGTTCCTCTTCTGAATGAAATCTCCTTGCCAAAAATTCCAGGAATGGCAACTATCAACGTAGCAAGGAAGAGAGTACCCATTATGGTAAAGGCGAAGATCCACTGAAGAGCAAATACCTTCGTGAAGAATTGGCCAACTCCAATAGCTGCCGTGATGATACTAAGGGCAAATCCCATGGTGTAATCCTAATACCTAGTTAGTATTTCTAGAAACTTTGTGGTTCATACTTAGAGTCTTCAATCATTCAAACGTACCTTATAAGCAGCAAGGAAGAAGAGTCCATATACTAAGATACCCCAGATTGCAACATTTGCCAGGATGCGTGCAGGAAGGTTGTGAGCTCCAACAGCAATAGCTCCGTTCCAATATAAAGCTACAAATGTCCAGGCGAGTGGACCAGAGGTAGCGGGCATATGAATGAATCTTGGGGTGGTGTTATGACGGAAGTAGAGAGAGGAAAGGTTGAAGAAATTGATGATCAAAATAATCTCAGCCCAAACGAAGTGAGATCGAACGAATAGCATGACGAATGCAAATTGCAAGAGATTGTTGAGAATGAAATGACTTCCAACCGATGCTGCGGCGTTGACATGTTCAGCCTCATCGCTGAAGAGGTGAAGGACATATCCAACTTGAAGAATGAAGAGGAATAACCTAAGATTGTGTTAATGATGTAAGCTCTTGGATGCTGTAGGATAAAATCGTACCAATAAAATGAAGCAATGAAAGCATTCATAGCAAATGGTGTGTGGTGTATCTTATTCTGCTCCCAAATGGTATGACGCCAACTGTGCTTGTCATCTTGAGGTGCGTGGAAGTTGTAGTAAAAGGTGACTACTACCATCAACAACCAAGATATAATTGTACATATTTTGTATGTCCAGATTGCTTGAAGTGGATGGGTATCTCGTCGCGCGAATGGATTCGCTGTGTGCCATACCGTTAGTGTACAGATATATGGAAAGGAACTTTGGAGAGGAAGTACCTTGCGCAAATGAAGGACTCATCGTGAAACTGTGTAGGCTGGGTCTGCGAGAATCAAGAGAATCACGTATGGATATGAGTTCGTTGAGGTTCGTTGACTTTGTTAAGAAAGTAGGTGATCTTGATATAGAAGGGGGCTGATTGATGGAATTCCTTTTTAGTAAGTGCAGTTGAAAGAGGGGAAGCGTGAAACCAGACAGTACGTACCAAATATGACTGCTGGGAAAAACAAAGCAAGATGGGTATCTGGGTATCTGGGTATCTTCTGTCTCTGAAGTATCACGCGTTGATGTTACGAAAATTGGTAAAGAGGAGTCTCGTCAATTGAGCTTTAGCATCATTCACAACTTCACCAGAAAGATAAAATTAAGTTTGACTTTAATTTTTGAAGGGAAGGAACTAGACTAGTAGCTTGCTTAACTACCTACGCATGCGTGCCTACCTACCTATCTATATAAACTTATTAAGGAATGGAAAATCAAGCTTATACTCGAGTAGCAAGCATGACGTATGGGAAGACGGGGACCCTTGAAACTACTAGTACCAACACTAAAAATGCATACGATCTATGATTTACCCCGCACCCACAACCACCAAACACACACAAGCGATCCTATCAGTTATTCAATTCGAAACTTGGATTATCGTCCTCATACGAGGATTGGTTTATGAGGTGACTGACGCGGTCGAATATCAATGATTTTCACTGGCAATGTGATACAATACTGGGCGGAGCGAGACGCGGTGGTCAATGAAAAAAAGGAAACACGCGGAAGGGATGCTACTGACAAGATGCCTACTGCACCAGTACATGCAATGGAAAGATACTCCGTGTGTTACTAAGTATGCAATTGTGGAATTCCCGTCGCATAATACCATCAAAAACTTGACCATTCAGGGTCAGCCTATGAATTGCACTCAAGTTTGATAAATGTAGCAGTTTGGCTGTCTAACGCTTTAGATGACACTCTAACAAGACAATCTAGAAGCTAGGTACTACCTAGACATCTATACATTCACCCTGACTAACCGACTAACTGACTAACTGACTATACGTACTGGTATAAATATGAGTCTTTTCGAGTGACTCAAAATACCTAATTGGTAGGTGTGTAGTAATGATCGCAAACTTGGCGGGATTCGGAGTCAATCTCGGATACAAGTAGGTGTTCATTAAGGGGGAGCGAGATCATCGATTGACTGATACCGGAGCAAACCTTCCAATGTGTAATATGTGGTAGGCTTGTCTAGTTAAGTGCCTCTCGTGACTTAATTACAGAATTGTAAATATCTAAATATTTATTTTCTACATGTCCCTTCGGAAAAGCAAGATGTTGCGCCATGCCATGTGAGTTATATGTGTCACCATAAGATGTTACAATGTTGGCTATTTGTCTTGCCTACTTGATAGGAGTGGTTTCGTATATCCATTAATATTGAACATCAAAAGACACTTTCAACAATCGATTTTCATTGAACCAGAGATCACCACATCAGAAATCAATCGAGACTTGGTCATAAAAAGTAGAAATTTAAAAGCAACTATGAAGTTCAGAAATAGAATCAGCTCAAAAGCGTGACACCAGCCACATTGTTTTGTTCGGAATTAAAGGGAGCTAATCCTTAATCCTGGGACTGCTGTCTAAGGTTATCACCAGCTCCATCCATTCAGGTACCAAAGCTCTTATCAATATATCTCTCTCGTACACCGAAATACAACATAACATCAAACATTCCGAACATCCATCATGAAGCTCACAAATTTATCACTCTTAGCTCTATCGGCATCTCTTGCCTCTGCAAGATTTGTTGAACAACACGAAAAGGATCAAGTTATCCTGAATTCTAACGTCGTGGATAATGAGCGTTATCTGATCGAGATCGCCCCTGGCAAACAACAATGGGTTACAGAAGAAGAGAAATGGGAATTAAGAAGAGTATGTATACTGTGCAACCCAGATAAGCTTTAGCTAATATCGTGAAGAATGGACAGAACTTTATGGACATTACGGAAACTCCAGAACTTGGTACCTTCAAGGCTTCATCAACCAAGGCGAAGTTTCCCTCAAAACCAACCCTTCAGAAAGATCTCAAACCGCTACTTGAAGACTTAAACAAGTCTAATATGCACGAGAACCTTAAGACCTTCACTAGTTTTCACACCAGATATTACAAGTCCGACTATGGTCGTCAATCCTCAGAATGGCTCCTGGAGCAAGTTCAAGGGTTGATCAAGGATGCTGGAGCCGATAAATACGGAGCCAACGCTCGTCATTTCAAACATTCTTGGGGACAAAATAGTATTATTGCTACAATTCCCGGACAGAAGAACTCGACTGTTGTCGTAGGCGCACACCAGGACTCTATAAACCTCTTCTTACCTTCTATTCTATCTGCCCCCGGAGCTGATGATGATGGAAGTGGAACTGTGACTATTCTCGAAACCCTTCGTGTATTGCTCACATCTCAGGATGTCATCGAAGGAAAAGGAGAGAACACTATTGAATTTCACTGGTAGCTAGCATCCTTTTCATTTTACCAATCCAACCGATGAGGTGCTTTGAATTCACATGCACGATTCTAACATTTAATCAGGTACTCGGCTGAAGAAGGTGGTTTGCTCGGCAGTCAAGCTATTTTCTCCGAATATGAGCAGACTGGCCGAGACATCAAGGCAATGCTTCAACAGGATATGACAGGATACACTCAAAAGACTTTGGATGCTGGAGAGCCAGAGAGTGTTGGTGTGATCACCGATTTTGTCGATCCTGATTTGACAGATTTTATCAAAAAGATTGTTACCGAGGTAAGTTGCTTACAATAAGCATGGGGAGTCATAGTCTCTTGTTTCTTTGCTTATACGATTTTAGTATTGTGATATTCCATATGTCGAGACAAAGTGTGGCTATGCATGCTCTGACCATGCTAGCGCTTCAAAGGCTGGGTACGCATCTGCTTTCGTCATTGAGAGCGACTTCAAGTATTCCGATAACCATATCCACACTTCGGACGACACTATCAAGTACTTGAACTTCGACCACATGCTTCAACATGCTCGGTTGACTCTTGGTTTGGTTTATGAGCTTGCATTTGCAAAGCTATGAGTGGCTTCGTATAGTATAGTCGGTTATTTAACACATCATCGAAGATATATGGGATTATTTGTATTTACAACCGAGTTTGGAAGCATTATAATGGGTGGCAGCATCTATCAGTACCTAATCTGTATTGAATATCTGGTGGCTGTTAGATTTACATGTGTTATGCATTGATATTATGCAAGAAATGTGTCAGGGTCAGAGGTGCAGGTGGCTTCAAATCAATTACCTAATTGTTCAGAAATGAATTAAGAAACCAAGTGATCAATTCGACGATTGAAGTTCTTGAAACATGGTACTCCGATAGTGTTATTACTCCCAGGTACTTCTAAATCGACCAATTCCTAATCTTTTACCCACCGCGTTCGATGATGGCATGATTCAATTGATTCATGCATGATTGGTTCGAAGTGGCTCAGTGGATTACCCTGTGCGGCCGTGCCTTATCGGACGTCAGCCGTCACTTCCCCTACTAGTCGGTTCTGGTAGATAGGGATCCATATGACTCCTATCCGATCAATCAACCAGTAGGTATCTCTCTCTTCTACGGCGTGTACACTTATTAGCAGGCAGATAGACAGTCCTTCTTATTAACAGCTCATCCGAATACCTGTCATCTGCAGAACTTCATCTTTATAATATCTCTTTCAATCCTCGATCAGACAGATTTAAGTATCACTTTGCTCAATTCCTTATCTTGAATCAAAATGGCAATCTACTCATCAGTCCCGCCACCCGCACAACAGGCTTCCGGCTTAGCAGGTCCAGATATCGAAGCCTGGACGGTGTCTGCTTTAGAATCACTCAATGTTTCTCCTACTGCTCGCGGTACTGGAGTTACACTCTCCATTCCTCTCGAACAGGATGAGCTCCCCAAAGACGCGACACCCTCAAGACCCACTGCCTACAAACCTCGCAAAGAACTTTTGAAACGCGATAGCCAGAAGCACAGAGAGACATTGCTGAGGGGAAAGGAGGGCAGTCGTAGACGCCAAAGATGGGAGAACGGTGAGTGCTATTGATGAATGGTGATGTAAAATTGAAGTTGCCACTCATCTGGCAGTTCGATCTCAACCATCAAAACATGCCTCGTCACACACCGCGATACTCGGCCTTTGCCGAGTGCGAATGACATTGATTACTGATTTGAATTGCATTCGCAGATCATCTTCTCCATGTTCCAAATGCTCAACCACCACTTCCAAGTGACTGGGAAGTTCGCCCGACCTACCCCGTTCATCACGTACCGTATTATTTGGCTCCATTGTGGGATGCGGGTGTTCGTCACCGAGCTGAGGAAATTGCTGCTGAAAAGAAGTTGAACAAAGCAAGAAAATCTGGCAGTTGTGAAGAGAGAGGTCGTGTCCCGCAAGATTTAAGGCAGAAGCTCAAGAAGAGCAAGGGAGCTAAGAGTCTTTTGCAAGACTTGGAGGAGGAGGTACGAAAATTCGTTCAAGAATATGAAGGAAAGCAGAAAATCCTAGGACAAATGAAGGAAGATGAAATGGATAGTGAGGATGAAGAGATTGTGTTCATTGGAAGAAATGGCACAATGAGTGATGAACAACGAAATCTAGTCGAAGAAGAGTTACAAAGAGAAAAATTGGTCTTCGACTCTTTAGCTGATGATACAGGGGCAAGCTTCGGGTATGTTATATTTGTAATCGTTTGATAGTTCGCTCTAACATTCTTCTAGACGCTGGCTTGTCCATTCTATTGCATCTTACTACGGTCTCACTTCTCGATCTATCACCGTTGGCGATCCCGCTCGTCGCGAGGCCTATGTCGGTATAAAGGAAATGGGTACAGGTGGACAGATTTCTCGTCTTCAATCAGACCTCCCCCGTCCATTGTGGGGAATGATCTGATTGCGGAGGTTTGACATTCTACCTTGGCAGACCTATGCCAATACTCCTTTTCGCTCCGGTTATCAGTGCCACATTGTGAGCTCGTTTTTCGACTGTCTACATTACTCGGTTTTGCATAGCTATTAGATCAGTAGATGATAGATCTAATCATTATTTTTAATACGTTGAAGCCATTTGATCTTTCAATTTACCACACACGATTTATCACGTTCAAACAGTATTATTTATCATTGACCTTGACAATAAATTCTTCACTCAGAGTGAGTTCCGACAAGTGCGTTGATAGGGACGGGAGGAATGTTGATTTAAAAACAGTACTGTTTCTAGTGATATCAATTACTCCAAGCCTAGTCAGGGCGTGCGCTGTCTCAACTCTCGAGCGTGTCTGCGTGTCTGCGGTGTTTTTATTCTTGAGTCAAGTTCACGAGTTTCAGCCTCCGGTCATATATCCGAGGTATCCCTTCCGACACAACCCCCACTATAATAAATTATTCAGATCCCGTACTAATTCCGCGAATATATATCTAGAGAGGGCTTAATAACAGTACAATCAAGAATTTACAAATCCACCAGAAACTCAGACACATATTTTTCTTTTGCCCTTTCTTTCATTACAGCATGCGCATATAGATTACTTTTTCGCAAGCGGCGCATCTTGCATTTTACAGTCATTATGAAACTACGAACTACATCGGCGCGATCCTTCCGACTCTTATCCGCGAATTCTAGAAATATATATCAAGGTTCAAGGAATTGGAATTGTATAACTCGCTGTGAACTCAGCAGCGAAAATGGAAGGAGATATATCTCTGCGGTCGCATTAGGACCAAGGAAAGCAGTCTCAAATTCAGATGCTGCTTCATTAACACCAAGACGTTTACTGGCCTTTCCCGCATCTTTTATTGCAGGACAGCGAAGGTGTTTGGCAACTGTTCAAAACGGTACATAATCGTTCTCACCAACAAAAAGCATTTGCTAAAATTGCTGTAGAAAATCCGGATGATCTAGGACCTATGAAGGAATACAATGCGCGCGTTGCATCGGGACAATTGAGGGACGATGAACACCAGAGAGGTCAGCAACATATCTACATATTCATACCCTGTAACAAAGTCTGACGAATTATGCTTGTAGGCATTATACAGAATCTTCAACATCTCCATGACGAATTGCGATATTATACGGCGCCTGCGATTGTTCACCCAACCCTCGAATCTCTTCAACCTCGGCCAACTTCTATGTTTGGACGTATATTTGGAAACAAACCCAAAGAATCGGCTTTGAAGGAAATACCAGAGAACCTCCCAAGAGGACTTTATTTGTATGGAGACGTAGGAAGTGGAAAGACTATGTTGATGGACATGTTTTATGAGACACTGCCAAGTAGTGTAGCATCAAAAACGAGGATCCATTTCCACAATTTTATGCAGGATGTTCATAAGAGGTTACACAGCATGAAAATGCAGTACGGAAATGATATTGACGCTGTACCTTTTGTGGCAGCGGATATTGCGGAAAAGGGAAATGTACTGTGTTTTGATGAATTTCAATGCACAGATGTGGCGGATGCTATGATCTTGAGAAGGTATTGTCCTCTTTCTTTTTCGACTGAAGTTTTGTTCTTATGCTCATCTCTCATAGACTTCTGGAATCTTTGATGTCCCATGGAGTCGTTCTTGTCACAACCTCCAATCGTCACCCGGATGACCTCTACCGTAATGGTATTCAAAGGGAATCATTCATTCCCTGTATTAATCTCCTCAAGTCTCGTCTTCACGTCATAAACCTCGATAGTCCCACAGATTATCGAAAAATTCCTCGTCCTCCTTCCGGCGTCTATCACTGTCCTCTAGACGCTCACGCGCCTACTCATGCGGAAAAATGGTTCCGTTTCCTTGGTGACCCTGACCAATCTACTCCTCATTCAGAAACTCAACATGTCTGGGGTCGCGAAATCCACGTTCCGAAAGTTAGTGGTAAAGCCGCTATGTTTACATTCGATGAGTTGATTGGGAAACCTACTAGCGCAGCTGATTACATTGAACTTATGAGAAGCTACGACGCATTTATCGTTACGGATGTTCCCGGAATGACACATCAACAACGTGATCTCGCTCGTCGTTTTATCACGTTTATCGATGCCGTCTATGAATCTCGTGCTAAGCTTGTCTTGACGACCGCAGTACCTTTGACGCAATTATTTTTGTCGAAAGAAGAAATTCAAGATAGCATGAAGAAAGAAGTGGCGGATAAGAAAGGACAGAAAGAAGTTAATGAAGGAGACGAACTTGATGATGCTATGAGAATGATGATGGATGACTTGGGTATGAATATGAATATGTTGAAGAATACTAGCATATTTAGTGGGGATGAAGAAAGATTTGCTTTTGCGAGAGCGCTGAGTCGATTGAGTGAGATGGGGAGTCAGCAATGGGTGGAGAGGGGTATGGGATTAGAGAAAGATGGGGGGAAGAAGGAGAAAGAGGGTTGGCAGAAGGTTAGGAGTAAGAGGTTGGAGGATATTATGTAGTGAGTTTGTTTGGAGTGGCTTAGAAGTTGATTTTGATGTTGATGTTGCGCGAGATACCAATGATTTGCTGCTTAGATGATAAGGGGAGGGCTGGAGGATGGTTGTGGTTGAGATCTAGAGTTGGATAGTTAAAGAGAGAGGGAGGCCGATTTGCCATCCTTTCTTTGGGATGCCATTATATATAGTATATACAAGTATAATAGATCGATCGACATATACCGAGATACTAAGTCAATTTAAGCATATGAGGGAACAGTCATCCGGCGAAACGGATAACCGAGCTTCTTGAGCGGGAACAGGCCTCATTTTTGCAACTCCTTCTCCCCCCTTTGTCCATTTCTCACTTCTCTTCTACCCCTTTTGAAAGTTCAAAAGCACCCGTGAGGAATCTCTACCACGATTGAGCAGGGCGATGCATATTCAATGTTCCTACCATCTCCAGTTTCGTTCTAGATACTCTCCTGCTTCAGATTATTGCATCTTGCACGAGTATCATTTGTATGTGCGCTGGAGGAAATATCTAGAAGTATCTAAGAGTAGGATTTTTTGTGTGAATTGGTAATCTTACCTTGTGTTGTGGACTGCCTTCTGATTTTGGATTGGGGTGTGGTGTGGTGTGTTGGAGATTGGAGATTGGAGATTGGAGATTGGAGATTGGAGATTGGAGATTGGAGATTGGAGATTGGAGACTGGAGATTGGAGATTGGAGATTGGAGATTGGAGACTGGATATTGGATATTGGATATTAGATATGTAAGACTTGTATGTATGGTGACATATACATTTGACATATATGATATTAGTGTACCTATCTACTATGTAGTTGCGCCTTAGATTCTTCATCGCATTGATATTTGACTGATGAGCAAGCAGCTAGAATGTGAATTCGGATACCTTAATAATGATAACTCTATAACTCTATACCCCAAGAAACTTTCCCACATTAGTTGAGTTGTATAATACTATTTGCAGATTTACAAGTCCAACTAACTTATGAAAGATTACAAATATTCAAAAAGTCGGGGTTTCTGTTGTGGAAATATTGTTATTGTTTGAAGATTATGAATTTCTCTTTTCGGATACTTGGAGCGGATATTCGGTTCGTAAACCCCTAGTTTGGGATTTGAATTATGGAGTTTTGTAGTTGAGTATTTTGTTTTGGTTTGGTATGATCATTATGAAGAAGTTGATTTTTTGCGCTGTAAAGTTATTGTGTGGAAGATTCGCTTGTTTGTGAGTTCTGAGTTCTGAGTTTTGAGCTTTGAGTTCTAAGTTCTAAAATTATAAATTCTGAGTAGGTATAATAGGTTTTGAGATTTAATTCTGCATTATAATGATTGTTCCAATATTGGCTTGAAGAATAAATGGGTTTGATGTTTTGGAATATTTGATGATTAATGGATTTGTGGCAGATATAGGTACTGTAATGTAGTGAAGTTGAGCGGAGCGGAGATTTGAAGGGAGGTTGCTTGCTTGTTTGCTTGCTTGTTGCTTCTTGGATTGTGAACCTTCGGTTCTATTTGGCGAGAGATGAGGAGAGATGAGGAGAAGGAATGTATTGGGATAGAATGTTTACATACTTACTTTGCGGTTTCAATTTTCTTTCTTTCTGTGCTGAGTTGAAGTTTGGAGTTCGTTGTTGTGGTGGTGGTGTGGAAATTATTAAAGATGATATATAGACCTTTGTGATTTATATCAAGGAATCCTAGATCAATCAAGGAAACGCGAGAATCTCGCTTGATTTGCCGACAGGGACGAGAAGTAAATGGGCTGCTGATGTTCACATATGATAATAGTGTACATATTTATCTGAGATATGAAGATGGATTTGCGATTGTGTAAATCGATCTTGAGGATTATTGATTAAAAGTGAATATCAATGATGGTGTGATTAAATTTCCAATTTCCCATTTCCATTTCGCTTCCTTCCCCCTTTCTTCAATCCCCAATAAAGCACTCTCCTCTCTCAATTCCACCCCCATCTCCACCCATCCACCCACCCACCCACCCATCCATCCATCCATATACCCCCACACCCTCCATACCCCCAACAAATAATTCTGCACATCCCTCAAAACCACCTCCTCAAGCTCAAACCCCGTCATCCCATTAAACACCCCACAGAACGTTCCCGGCGTGATCTCCATCCCCGTCTTCACGGCTTCCTTCTTCAACACTCTCCTTATCCTCGCAGTATGTCTCTCATCATGTGCTCTCATCCTCTGTGCTATTACCGGAATAATATATTTCTTAAACCTGCGCAAACCGAGTTTCATACCGAGATGCGCATTAAAAATTTCAAGTGCTTTAGACCATCCGCACGCGTGGAAATATATACGCGGTAATACCGTAGAGAAAATTTCAGTAAGTTGCGAGGATAACCCCTCTTCATATTTGGTATGCATATGTATCTGTAACTCCCTCTCCGCAATTTCACATAACGCTTCCGTAAGAAGCAAACTATTCATCTCCTCCTTGTCTCCCAATTTAAAAACCTCAGCTTGTCGCATCAAGATTTCAAAATTCCCAAAACTCATCACGAACCCCACCTCCTGGAATTTCATCCACGCGTCTCGCATCGTCAATCCGGAATGCCAGATTTGCGCTAGAAGCGCATAGAGAAATAGAAATGACGGAGCGCCATTCGTGGCACATTTCCCTTGCTCCAGCGCGATGATATCGATTGCTTTTTGGAGAGTGTCGAAATCGTATTGGGGGAAGGATCTTTCGAGGGCGTTGAAGAAGGTTTGGAAGGTGTCGGATTGGGAGTGAGGGGATTTGTTGGTGGGATTGAGAAATTGGGGCTTCTCATGGGGAGGAAGCTGGGGATAGTGTTCGTCTTGATTGAGAAACGTACTGATGGTTCCGAGTTCGGGGGTTTAGTGGGCCTTTGCGAGTCCGGTCCAGTCGATTGTGCTCTTGGTGAATAGGTTTTGTGTGGTTGAGTAGCTGGTGTAGATGGTGAGATGGGGGAGACTTTCTTCGAGTGAGCCTTCGGAATTATCTGGGTTGTTGTTTGTCTCTGAAGTATGATTCGAAGAGGATTCTTGAGGATTGTTTGTGAGAAACTGGGAGGTTGGATTGGGAGTTCTGGGGGTGATGTGGTTGATAGGTGTAGTGAGGAAGGTAACGTGTCTGGATATGCGATTGGGTTTCAAAGGTGAATGAGCAGTTTTGGAAGGGTTCGTTCTTGAGAAGTTCTTGATTTCATGTTTAGAATGGGAGAGTTCTGCCGTGGGTTTCGGGGTTTCAGAAACACTATCCTTTGAATTCCCTTCAGATGTACTCATGTTGTCTTGATATATCTCTTACTGTGGCGTAAAATCTTTGAAGTCTTTCCTATTAAACTCGGGGTTTTCTCAAGAAAAAGAAACAGGAAGAAAGCCAGCCGTGCCTTTTAAGAACATCGAGCCCCAGTATCCAGTCATATCCAAATTCCAAGTCTCAATTAAAACAGTCAGTATCTGTGTGTTTAAAACATTTCCTATCTTTTCGAGTTATCATTACCAAGGAAGTTTATATGAACATGTCGAAAGTCATAACATTAATGGTTATGATATGTTCTTACTCTCTCACGTGGAAATCCTGATGATAAGCTGGAATACCTATTCTTCTGCACATACTCGCAAAGTAAGTAGTAGACTATTGATATTCTTGGAGAATCTGAAATTTGTAATCTTGAAATGAATGCTTAATGGTATTGTAGGATGGTTCATATTCTGTACCGTGTGTACCTAGGTATGTAACGCAAAATTAATGTTTGGGGCGTGAAGAGATGGATGAGTGAACGGTAGGTAGATTAGCTGAGTTTGAAGGTTGATATGATAGACAAAGAGTATGACCCCACGAGGAAGTTCTCGGTATTTGGTTCGTTATTTTGAACATTGACTCGACTGATGAGTTTCTCGGGACCTCGTTAAACTTGTAGGTTATGAAAATAATTTATTCTATGTGATTAAATAAGATACCACACGAAAGATGGCCATGCCTATGTGCATAAATTCCCTCATTTGCGGGAGCATGTTGGAGGATGGCTTTTAAACGGGAGGAACTTGAGTTTTACCTTCCCTTCACGCTCATAGAAAAAACCAAGCATGTAAATCTCAATAAACTTAGATAGTTAAGAATAGGGAAATCGGCAGTGCCTTACCACTTCCTTGCCGCGATTGCGAGGTAAAAGAGTTGAGAGTACGAGGAAGCGAAGAATCGCAACATGTAGGAAACGAATAGTTACATCAATTCTTTATTAAAACTGACTGTTAAGTGCATTAGAGAGACGTGTATGTAATAAAAGCCTTCCCGTATTTGAAAACATAAATATGCCCAAATTTGATATCCCTCATCCGATCAAATCATTTTCTTCCATACTCGTAGATACCCACAGTTTACAGAGGTAGACATTCCCTCGTATCAGTTTGTTGTTACCTAATACAGAGATGCCGTCAAAAAGAAAATTCGTTACTTCGTGCATGACCACTTCAATATGAAATTGCCAATTCCTTGGAAATCATTATCCTAACATTCGATTGAACGCCACATCTTATAACATAAACTTCTCGAAAAGCAAGATCATCTCAAATTCGCCCCTCTAAAATTAGAAAAACAACAACAAGCCGGTCAGATCAAAGAATCCAAAGTTACTCTTACATTTCCACAAGAGGCGAGCATCTTTGGCATGGATAGGCTGCTTGTGGGCGTGCGTTGGCCTCTGCGAGGATTTTTCGGGCGAGTTCTTGTGCAGCGTTGATTCTCTCGATCTCAGGCTTTTTGTAGATTTGCAGTGGTTGAGCTGGAGATATAGGTTCCTCATGAAATTGGGCCAATGGTACAGCTGAAGACGGAAGGACTTTGATGACTGGTGGTAACAATCTTCGTTGCATGAGTGGCGAGAACTCTGTTCGCGAGGTCCGGAAACTATCGCCAGAATCGGATGTCTCGAATAGATTGCCACATGTAGCGAAATGCCTTTCCCGCGTAGCAGAATTGATGAAAAAGGTTCCAGGACAAGCTTCGCAGATAAATGCATGCTCGCTTGCGTAATGTGCGGCAACATCATCAGATGATGAGAAGATTTGAGTACATTGAACACAGCCGAAGATTGGTCTTAGAGTATGCATCTTGGTTCTATGTGCTTGAAGTTGCGGGTCCTCTCCTTCACTAAAGAATCCATCACACTCACAACACTTGACCATATTGAATGTATGATAGTGATGACGAGCCGAATTAAGGATGCTAAATTGGTGATGACAGCCGGGCTTGAGACACTTCAGCTAGAGCTTACAAGTAGCATCTTCATTGTTACCATTAATCTGAAAGCCAGGTTCGTGTTCTTCTGTGAGTTCATGTGATCGGAAGCGTGCTGGAAGAGTTCCAGAACGTCCCTGAAACATTTGGGACACTCGGGGCATTTAATACGGTGATTATTGGTGCCAGCGATTGTCATTCCATCTTTCTTACATCTAAAGCCTTGATTATAATCTGCCAAACGAAGCTTTTCGAAAGATAGCTTCCAGCAAGCAGAGTGACATGTAATACCCTGGAAATATTGCAAAATGTTGGAGTTGATGTCATTCTCAATGAATGGGGGAGAATGTTACATCTATGGTGCCTTGGCGACGACTGTGGCAGGCTTCACACTCAGAGCACTTGAAGTTACTGTGTTCTGATTTCTTGTGCATCTCTAAATGTTTTGGTCCTTCACGCATCTCTCGGCACAGGTCGCAGGCCCATGTGTGATAATCGGCAATGTGTTGCTTCAAAGTGGCTTCGAACAGGTATCCCCTGCGACATTTTTGGCACTGGAATAGATGAGCGGGAGAGAGCGCATGCTGCTCAAGGGCTTGAAGCGTTCTGAATTCTTTGTCGCATGGCAAACACTTGAAGCTGTGGTGTCCAGGCTCATGTGCGTTGAAGTGTGCCCAATCTGTGAAGCATTTTCTGCATTCATAGCAGTGGTATGGATGTACAGCATCAACATGGGCGTTTCGCGCAGGGAGAGTTTCGGAAAACTCTCTCGCAAAATTGACAAGATAGCTGATGTTGCGACTTATTATGTGAATCTAATTCGTCTTGGTTGTTGAACGCCTCGTTGCAGTCGCGACAACAGAACGTGTGTTTGGCTGCAGTATGCATTTCTCTTGCCTGTTGTGACCCGAAAGGTTTGAGTTCCTCGCAAACAACACAGACCCAAGCCCGTTGATGACGACGATTGATGCAATGTGCGAACATATGCTCCCTAGTGTCGAAGGTAGCTTCACAGGTCCAGCACATGAAAGTCATGGTGAGCTCGGTTTCAAAACACCGAATTTGTGGATTTGAGAGAAACGACTGGACCAACTAATTAATTACTACCAACTGAATTTTTTTTTTTGAATGTGATGGCGAACAGACCTGAATTTTTACACAGAGTGGCGCAGACTATCTTCCTGAGATTAGCTGGAGCGATGGATAATATCCTTGAATGAGCTAAGTCTGGATCTTGAGAATCAAGTATAAATCAGAAACAAGGCTTGATTGATCTTGGAGATTGAAGTTATTGGCTCGAAGAACCACCCAATATCGACGATACACGAGCATCGAATGTTACAATGGTTTCAGATAAAACCACAAGAGTGTCGGGAAACTGAAAGGTGTAAAGAGAGGAGATGTGATGAGACAGCTAGACGGAGATACGGCTGGACAAATCAAAGAAGAAGAATTCAGTCACCCGGAAATCAATTAATTGATTTTGATGCTTGAGAGAAATTGCAGAGAAAGTAGAATGTTTCAATGGAAAGCCTCATTGGTCAACAATGAGGAGAATTGGAGGAGAATATTGTCTTGTGCAATCAAGATAAAAAAAAAGGTTGATACAATGAAGAGAAATGCGCGCTTCAAGCTATGTAGAATTTACTGGAATTTGCGCGATTGAGAATTGAAAGTGTTGGAATAATATCAAGAAGCTGGCGAAGGAAAAAGTTAGAAGGGCGATTTCCGTTAGCGTGGTTGTGTTCCAACCCCCCCTCAAAGGCACACTTCACTCCTGGCAGTGAAAAATGGAGAGAGGAAAGAAATAGAAGAAATGTTGACATCGGAAGCTTCAGTCTCGTCCCCGAAGGAATGATTCAATGAGTACCGCCTCAACTGTATTGATACTATATTAGAAAGATGTATCCACCAAGTAAACCTCAGTTTGAGATATGAGAGGGACAAATCCGATTGGGGCGACTCTAGCAGCTTGCTTGAATAAGTTTGGATCTGAAGCGCAGCGATGTTAAGTTTCATAAACTCTCTTGAGAATCTCGCTCAGACTTCACTCGCAGTTCTACCTAGCCACTTTTTCAGTTCTAAATTTGATATGACCAAGCCTGCTTATCTCAAGGCCAACACGCGTAATTCTCCAACTACCTCTGAGAACATCTGCGCATCTTCATCGACTCTGCCTCTTCATACCTTCCTCCAATAGACTGATGGACTTACCTTGACGTCTATTCCTAGTTAAGTAGCTCGACTTGATTTTTGCCAAGATATCCTCAACCATTCCCACACCATTTTACTTTTGACTTTGCCACGGTAGAAGACAAATTGGCATGTACAGTCGAAGCATCGGTGAGTCCTTGTTGATATTTGCAACTGATAATCTATACCCCGGCAATGGCAAGTACATCACTCTTCATGTAGGTGCCGACATGTCAGGCGGCTCTTAGGTATATGTGCGTGATCCGCGCATGTATGTCCCGGCAGTAATCAGATGAGGCGGGCGGAGTGCAAGTCTTTGACCCCAAGCCATGCTTATCATTCGAGCGCAGTAAACCCTGATGTAAATGCCAACCCTTTGGCAAGTAGAGGAGAATGATTCTTCGGCCAAATCAGTGTGACAACAGTCTTCGAATCCCACATCGCAAGGCTTGGTATTTCCTCTGGCCCTCTGGCAGATCCAAATCACATATGAAAACTGTACGACTTGTACACCAAGTCAAGACTTAAGATCCATCGACTAGTTAAATAAGTGGTAAGAAACGGAAAGTCTCTTTAATAGAAAAGAGGATCTTGCCCAAGGGTCGATCCTTCTCTTCAGGTGATAAGACATGATATGATGTTGACTGGAGAATCAGCAAGGGGCCGGAGTCTAATTATTGTGAGATCTTACAGAATACGGTAACCGAGATGTGGGACCTGGTCCGCCTATCAGGGGCTATGTAATTGATGCCAAGCAGATCCCCAAGGATTGATTGATTTTGCGAAAAGCAACCCAAGAATACTCTTCACATCTAACATCTAATGTTATGCAGGCTGGCTTTATATTCTAATTAAGAGAAAACAAACGGCGTCATCTACAACGCTTGAGCAGCCGTTCTTTTATAATTTATTCAAAACTTTGACAGGCAAAAAATCGGTTCAATATAGGCCTGCAGCTTGCTTATCTCAACTATGCTCGAGCCATGCTATCCTCCTTGCACCTCTGCCGGATGTGCAGGAAGAGGGCATGTGCCGACGAGGCATGTCACCGACATCAGCGATCATTGGGCATCTGCCAATCCTTGGATCATGGCAGGCATAATGCCATGCCATGTAAACAGGGCGAGCTTGACTCAAACTGAACTTTAATAGAGCACCAGCAGATTCCGATCGGCTCCCACAGGTTAATTCCGATGCATCCTTATATCGCACAAACTTGTTTCCAAGACTTCAACTCTTCAGAAAATCCTTGGGGTTCAACTCAACTTTCTTGCACAGCCAATAACGTCACCGCGGCTTTTCAAAGGAAAGGTTACACCAAGCACGATAGACGATGACCTGATGACTTGCGGGGAAATATGACAGATCTCAGACGAACAATACATTCAAGGGTGGCGTCTGGGAAGAAGAACCGCATTAGGAATCTCTCCGGACGGGACGTTCTAAATGCATGCCGTGACTGATGACGGTCTGGCGGGATCAAGGCTGAAAGGTGGTTACTCTAAGATGTGACCGTGAGAGATAGAACATACTAGTGCAAGGTGACATAGTTTGCAAGCCCTGAAAAGTGGATATTCAGGCATGGTAATCTATTTAAGGTTGGAGGTAGCCACTTTGTGGTAATTTTACCGGACCTATACTGGTGAGAGGTGCGGTACGAGCAAGCCTCGCAAGCAATACATTCTTTAGGTCAAAAGCCACTTGAAATTTCTCTCAGTCACTGAAGATAAATTGAACGGTTTGAACGGGGTTTTGCTTAGGGGTTTATGGTTCTAATTAAAGGATTGCGGAGGTTCCGGATCATACAAGTTAGTCTCTCCCGGTCAAGGGGATACAGACCGGAAGGTCTTGAGGTCAGTGCCACTACTGATCTACTGCTACTCCTTGTCGGGCAGGAGGGGCAAGTAGAGAAACAGAGTTTCTTAGGGTCTAGATCACTTTGTTCTCGCATGGTTAACTTCCTTTCATATATGGTAGCGAATCTATAATTGGGGAAGTTCTCAACTCTCTCATGCAACAGCTGTCTCATAAAGTTGAAGATCGTTTATTGGACGTGCGCTTGAACTTTAAACGTTCATCGGCGTGATAGGTAGGCTTTCACTGGTGAGCTTGGTCAATGCGGCCACGCTTCCTAAGCTACTGAGCAGGGTCTAGGCCTCTTGTTGCTATATTCCGTCAATATAAACTGTTTTGTTCAAATACACATTGGGTCGCCGCCGTTGGTTGAACATTCTTCCGAATACTCAAGTATGTCTGATAATGTCCACCCTTCAACACGCGGTGTCCACTCGAGTTTTCGGTCAGATTCAACATACGGCTCAGCAAACATGGACGCTGAAGCTTCAATTGCTCGAAAGAGCAGCCTTCCCATGCCAACTTCCTCTTTTGGCTGTAGTCAGTGTCCTAAATCATTCAACAGGCGCGAGAATTTGAGTCGCCACATGAAAACCCGTAAGTGAGCATAGATTAGAATGAACCTCGGACACTAAAAAGCTTGTTCACCGCTAACAAATAACCTCTTAGACGATGTTCCTCGGACTCATATTTGTCAAATATGTGAAAAGACATTTACTCGCAGTGATTTACTAAAAAGGCATGAAGCCGGTCATGAAAGATGGGACAAGAAAGAACCAAAGTCTGAAGGTCGAAGGGGATCGGTGAAACGAAGGAAGACTTCTGAAGATCCCGAAAGCCACGAAAACATTGAAAACTTCAATCGGACGCCTACGAGTCGATCAGAATCGGCTCATTTATCTCCATTGCAGAGTGGCCCATCATTTCTACCGGAAACGGTAACGGCAAATTACTCGACTTCCTTTCAAGAGCCCACTGGGATAAACATACCGTTCCTCGAAGCGGCGCCTAGATCATTCGGGGCAGGCCAACGACTAAATATCAACAATAATGCACCCCAATCAATGCCAGTACTTGGCTTTGTACACCAAGAGACGCAGGTTTTCACGCAGCAATACCGAGATTCATATCAAGACACAACCTTGGATCACCAGTTCCCTACGAATCCTCTTGGTATAATGGGATATTCTTATCAGATACCCTTCAGTCATACTTCCTATTTGGAACCAGTGAACAGCGTGATGGGAAATGCGTGGGTTTCCAACGAGTTATATGCTAGCATGGTTGAAACTGGGAACGAATGGGAAAATACTGGGAAGCTTTTCAATCAAAATGTTCCAGTTCCAGATTCTATACAGCAACATTTTAGCAATATTAAACTGGACAGTTCAGGTTCAACTTCTACAATGCCAGCTAGCGAGCCTGATTTTGAATACCATCAACCTAAAAATGATAGATTGGATTCTCGGCCAACACGATCTGCAAACCTCGCACGCGTCCCTTCACCGCCAAATCTACCTTGGGGTGAAGATAAATGGCCTTCTTCATGGAATCCAAGCTTGGATCCAAATGCAATGTTGGAAGCTGATCCAGTTGATCTACCATTTGATCATCCTTTATTTCAAAACCATAACCCAAGATATGATATTTCAGAGTCAACATATTACAAAATGCGAGATTTCTTGACATCTCCCGTTCACGAAGTTACTGACAGAAGACCACTCTTCACAATGCCACCGTTATATGTGGTGAACATCTTCATTGGGCTTTACTTTAAGCATTTCTCACACCAAGCACCTGTACTTCATCATCCTACCGTGGATACCAATCAACTTTCTCCGCCATTATTATCTGCCATGATGATTGTTGGATCTACTTATAGTCACCTTAAGAATGGAAGACGACTAGCCATTATTTTAATCGAAGTTGTCGGTTGGCATTTGCTTGCCGCTATTCGTCTAGATATGAGCTTGATTCGAAATCCTATGACGATTTTTACCGAAGCCTTACTTATCCACATGGGATTATGGTGTGGAAATAAGCGTGCATTCACCGTATCCGAGTCTTTCAAAGGACATGCTGTCTCCCACATGCGTCGTTTATACGAAAGTGAAAAAACAAATACGCCAAATAGATATTCGTCTGTGGATCAAACATTGAAAGATCCCCAAGTTCGATGGAAACGATGGATCGACGAAGAATCTCTTAACAGGCTTTACTGGGTTGTCTATGCAACTGATCGCCAATTCTCCGCGCTTTGGAATCAATCGTCAGCAATGACAATTGGTGAATTGGTGGATGTTAGCTGTCCTTGCGATGAAGTCTTTTGGTGCGCCTCGTCTGCTAGCGATTGGAACTTCGCGCTTGGGTCCGCGAAGCTACCACAGTCTTTATCTTTTGCAGCTGCTGTAGGACCTTTTCTATTTTCTCTCACCCCTCCCTCGCCTATACCCCCCATGGGTCATTTCTCGACAGGAGAGGAGCCTATATTTCAACCCCAGCACATTCGATTACCGAATCTTAATTCATATACTGCGTTTCTTGTTCTGCTTGAAATTCAACGTCAGATATTTGATGCGTCACAAGAATCTTTAGTTGCTAGCAAATTCATCAACAGTCAAATCCCACCAGAAGTCTACGAAAGTTCACCCGGCCATCATCCTGCTTCATCTCTCTCACAGGCCCTGAAATCCCGCGTTTCTGCGAGGAGACAAGAACTAGCCTGTACGTTGGTGTATTATATATCCCATTTCCCCATGTCGATAACTAAACTAATCGACATACAGATACGCTTAACCGCTTTTCGAAAACTTATTTACGACCTCAATTGACTATACCTCACTCCACATCTCATATTTTTCACCAAATCTGTATTGTTCAACACCATATCACAAGTCTTTTCCTCCATATTCCTTTCACAGATCTATTAAATGCGGTTGGAAAATCGAGTCATGCGGGTATTGCGCATGCTCTAGAGAGACTAAGACTGTGGGCAAAAGAAGATCCAGAATTAGCTATTGATGTAGCTGTCCGAGCTGCTGTTGCAATCATGGAATCAAATAAAAATCTTAATGTGGATGTGACCGGCCAAGAAAAAGAAAGCGCGGTAGCCAAGGAAACAAAAAGTGATATGATAGATACGGGGGTTTATGGAGCCTCATTATTAATGATGACTCATGTCATTCTTTGGGCTTTCGCACAAGTTGCAGATAATAACCAAAAAGATGGTCTGATGAAAAGACTGAGAGGACACAAAAACACAGCAAATGACGCATTCTTGGAGATATTGGGGAGCGAATTGATGGATGAGGAGGATAGTGAGGAACTACCTGGCAACGGAAAAGGCGTAGACCCGGGAAGACCAAAAAGATCGCTATTTAAAAGTGCAGCAGATACGCTGATGCGGTTTGGCACTTGGGGAGTTGCGCTCGACATGGCGATGCTACTACGTTTCAGAGCGGAAGGGCAGGGCAGGGAGGGAAACAGGAGGCGATGAATTCGAATATAATCTTCTGGTATGGATGATAACTGTATATTATACAATTTAGACCAAATGAGGGTCGAGTTAAGCTATTTGACTTCTCTAACTTCTCGGGGGTCATTGGAAGTTATCATTCTACCTACCCTCGGACATGTATCTTAATCTAGAGAAATCCACAAAATACATCATTTACTGAGTAGATATATGTAGCTGAAAATACAGTCACACATGTAGCAAGAACAAAAGCATAAAACTCATTCCCGTAATTCCATCTCCTCACCATCTCCCCGCACACTCACCCTCTGCACCATCCCCAAAATCCTAACACCCACCTCCCACCAACTTCCCATCCCCTCATCCACCACAAACCCATTCCGCTCCCACGTCCTCACCGCCACATCCCTCGCATACAAACACACTAATCCCTTCCACTCCGGCACCCTCCCCTTCTCCTCCTCCCTCAACGCCTCTTCCGAAAACCGCGGATGCTCCCCCGCCCATTTCAAAGCAGCTTGGATTAAAATGTCTGCATACCCTTTCCCGCGATACTCTTTCAAAACCGCTAATCGACCAAGTCGTATATAGGGCTCTATTCCATCGTGAAACGTAGTTGCGGGATTTATCTTATATGTAGGAGAGGCCTGGAAGAAAAAGGTTGAGGAGGGTGGAATTTCTTCGGTGGGAGATCCGGCAACGATGCGAGTGTGGGGGAGAGGCCGGAGGGTGTCAGGGTAGGGGAGTAGACGGAGTGTTCCTACTGGGATGTAGGGGATTTGGGAGGTTTCTAAATCTGAGTCTGAGAGGAGAGAATGAGGATTTGGAGGTGCGTAGATGACGAAATGCACAGAGCGCGCATCGTCGTTATCGAGATGGTGGATGAGTGGGACGGCACGTTGTTCGTAGACGAATACTTGTTCGCGCACGGAGCAGGAGTCTTTGAATATGGGAATTTGGGTGATGGAGGGGGAGGATTGCGAGGAGGCGGGGAGGTGACGGGTCCAGGTGTGGAGGTGGGGGCGGGGGGTTGTTGGATGAGGAGTTTGTTGGGGGGGGGGAGGGGGGGTGGACATTGTGGTTTGGGGGTGGAGGTTGGAGGTTGAGGTTTGGAGGGAGAGCGAGGAAGTGATTTGGTGGATAATGGTTGACGTGAGAATTGGGATATAGAAATAGCAGGTGGGAAATAGGTACAAGTAAGAGACAGGTGGAACAGTTTATGTTAAATTGTTTCTCAGAATCATAATGAGTCATCCGGCCTCTTTCTGAGGTTTGCAAGATGAGATACTGATAAGACGCGCAGCTTAGTCTATTGTGACATGCACTAGCATGCTTTGAGTATCCAGAGCGTTCATCGAATCTGGGGTGTCCACAAGATTGAAGGAAAGTGATTATTTGTAATTACAAAATGGACTGCTGTAATCTATAATGTTCTAATGAACGCTAATATGCAAAGCTTCAGAATACCACAACTCCCACCCTATGCACCCTATGCAATTCCTGTAAGTTATATCATGGTATCACCCAAATGACTCGCATAAATCCCGTTCTCCAAATTAGGAATTAGAAACCCCATATGTAAAAGAAGATCATGCCTGAATGAGATCAGGCACAGCAGGTCCAACTCCCCTGAGCAATACTATACGATTGCCACTAACCAACGCATCTCCAACTTTCTCATTGAATTCTAAAAGTCTTCCAGCTTCTACATGAAAGATTCTAAGCTTGTCCTTCTCATCCATTCCCTGATTATTGACATTTTCTACTTGAAGTGCCTTCGCCGCTGCGTCCAAAACTCGACCCATTACCCAATCTTTTGAATAAAAGAAAGCACCAGTAGGGAATTTCGAAGTCGTTGTCGCGGCTTCCGCGTCCACATTTATGTATACTCTCTTTTCTGGAGGTACCTTTGCATCTCCCTTTGCCGTCTTTTTGAGTTGGTTGACGGCTACCAATCTTGCAGCTGCGGATGAAGGTTTCGGTTCAGGTAGGACTCGAGTTGATGCGACCTTTGCTTTTTGAGCTGCTCCCCAAGCCCTTAATTTTCCAAAGGCCATTTTTGCACTTGTTTGTTGTTCATTAAATCTGCCAACTCTTGCCCCTATGGGTATGAGGTTTTTACAATCGTGGTCTTCCCCTAATCGATGTTTAAGACAATAGTCCCGATTACATATAGAACAATGAACACCTGTCGATAAACTCGTTCCAATTGTCGTCTTACAAGTCGGTGATGCACATGGCTTTTCAACGTCTGCCATCATTTTCCCCTCGCCCAAAGAACGTTTAGATTGATTAACTAGCCGACGTCTGGCTGCCCATTCTCCAGGTTTTGAACAATGATGGCTAGTTTCTGTACGATGATCGAGACAAAATGTTCCGCGACATGATTCGCAACGAAATGGGAGGAAATCTAGTTGATTGCAGTATTCGTATTGGCAGTGTACACCAATTAATGTTGGGTCTTTTTCGTCCATGGTACTGAAGGATGTATCTTCTGGAGTTTCTGATCTTGATGAGGAGGCCATGATGAAGGATAGGAATATATAAACACCTCGAATAGGCTTCCAATGCGTCGTACTATGGGCGGGTTTGAGATGTGTAGGTGTTAAGATGGGAATTGAAGTAGTGACGATGGCGAGGCTGATTATGAATGCAAGTCTAGAGGCTTCTGGAATATAGCCTAGGTAAAACGAAGCTAACGTTACGTCAAGGCTTAGCGTCGGTCTTTAAACTGTCCGTGTATCAAAAAGGGATGCGAAATAAAACTATCGCTCTAGAGAACTGCTTGAGAGGACAACATTACGTGTTTTAAGCATCCTTATGTAAACTACTCAAACGATCACTCAGTTTGAGCGCCAAAGATTACTTGTTGACCTTGAAATGGGAAGGTTTGTTAGGTCTTCTCCAATAGCAATTGAATATCGGTAGGATGGGTCCAAAAATGGACCATATGAGGATGACCTGCAGGAGAGGAGAGGGCTCAGCCTCAAGTATTCGTTTCATGTAATTGGGAAGCTTCCGAGGTTGAGATAGCCTGACGGTTCGCCATCATGGCTCTTGAAGTAATCGGTGGAATAGCGAGCATTCTTCAACTCGCAGGAACCGTCTACACGATATCAAAAACCCTCTACGAAGTGGGAGAAGCTTTATCCAATGCCCCTTCCGATATTAAGGAGTTGGCAGGAGATCTCGAAACTTTCTCAGATGAGCTTCATCTGTTATCCACATTGCTTCACAGTAAAGATGGTCGCTATGCAGATCGGGTGTATAGGCTTACAGCTAAAATCATTGGGGATTGTGCGACGATATGCACGAAAATTGATCGAATTATCCGGAAATTGAGAAGTGGTAGTGTTTTGGCCAAAACTAAATGGTTGTATAAAGAAAAGGAAATTATGAAGTTGTTGGCGAGACTTCGTGACTTAAAGTTAAGTCTGATGGGTACATTGAGTGTGTTAAGTGCACTGAGAGCCGATAGTATGATCGACTCCTTGGGTATAAATAACCCCAGTTTGATTGGAGGCCAAAATAAACACGGTTTATCGACAAAGACACGCATGCAAGTAGAGGACACGAGACTGAAACTAGCCAGCATATCGATGAAGGATACTACGGGAGCCTCTTCAGGGCCAAAACCTATGTTAACATTAAGCGCGTCTTCTATTTCGGGGGGCTCAAGCCCTATTTTGAGTACGTCAGCTACATCGGCAACCTATGTTGGTCTCCCACCAACTAGAATGCCCAGTACCACCAGTTTTTCTGCATCCTCATTCATTTCAATGGCAGTGATGCCAAATAGCATACCGCCAATCCTGAATGCTCAAGCGAACCAGTCTGTAGATTCCTTCCACAGCGCCTTATCAAATCAAGATCAAGACTCTTTAGATGGCCAAATGAGTAAGTCTTTAAGGTTCAAACCCTGAGATCTGCAACATGTGATGCGGATAGTGTTTTTTGAAACTGGGCTAACACGTCGAAGTGCTAGAACAAGTGGAGAGCTCTCTCAAACCAGAAGATCCTAACCATGTACCTGTGATACCGCAGTCTGTCATTGTATCCGATAGACATGACAAAAGCTCATTTCCGGCAGAAGAGAGCCGACAACTAGATACTTCAGTATCAAAATCTCTCAAGAGCTGGAGAAATGAAATGGCTCTTCAGCAATGAGGCATTTCAACATGAATCTCAAAGATACTGAGGAATGGGCAAACAACTTGCCAATCCCGAGCAACCTTTCGGCAATCACTGAGCCTACCGATCCAGCGGAAATATCGCCCCACCAAAAAGTCAAGAATAAGCCTCAAGAATTAGGGAGAGACAGACTGGAAGCGGACTTGGAAGACGTCCCGTCGCCTTCCGATAACACCTATTCTCGCCGCTTCTACGCCTATGGAAGTGGTGTAGTCTTGGGTTCTTCAATGGGATGGGAGAAACATCATAGCGACTTTGGCGATGATGGGCCTCTGTTGGAGGAAGTCGATGGCTACGTTATATCTCCCGCTTATTCCCCAGCGAGCCCAATTTACAATTCCATGGAAGCCGATAGCTTTCCAATACAGGCTGACACTACTTTATTGTCTTTAACGGGAGGTAAATAATGTCCGAATAACTTCTCCGAATTCATGGACGAGTCTGCGGTCGTCTGCGATAGGCTTTTCATAGATGAGAAGAAGATGATCCCGACTTCACCCAAATATCCCGCATTGGAAAGTAATGATATCATAGAGCATCATGGTCACAATACTAATTTTACAGAAGAAGCCATTTTATTCTCACAAGTTCAGTCAGGTTTTGGTCGCGGTAGTCTTGATGTGCCAAGTGTACAAGCTAGACACACCGCTACCCAAGCCAACAGCCCGGGTCTTTCAAAATGTGGGTTAATATGAAAACCAATATGTACATGTGTTTTGCTAATATGATCAGGTCTGCCTCAGAAGCTTGACTTGACAAATCAAGAAATGCAGCTCAGACTTCTCGAGGACCAGAATAACAGGAGATTAGAAATGGCAAAACGGGAGCAGCAAAATAGCCATCAACAATTCTTAAAAACATCTCACCAGGCAAACTTAGAGAGTGCGCCTCCCAAGCTAAATATACCTACGAATGAACTCGCGTGCCGCGATTACCAGAGGCAACTTGTACTTATCGAGAAAGAGAATAAAGACAGGTTAGCATTGACAGAACAGAAGCAGCAGTCATCTACTCAACGACCTCGACGAATTCAAATACAACACCAGCAGCTAATGGCTCAGCTGTCTCCCCACCGACGTCTTGGAGTTCCCGATAGAGTTCCTGGGGTGGATTTCGAGCGATGTCATAATATTGAGGCCTGCCAAAGTATGGAGACCTCGGCTAACATACCACCGGGACTCTGTGAGCTTGTAAATGAAGATCTGTTACCCAAACCGCAGCCTAAAGAGATTCAAATGCGAAGCCAAGCATCACAAAAAGCTTACAAAAGATATGGACAGCCTTCTTATCCGTCTATATCACTTTGTGGCAAAAGCGAACCTCGCGGGCCTATGGAGTTCCCCCCATATTATACTGATGGTATCTCGGGACAAGTTTTTAAGTCGCCTAAAAGTGATGAATTGAATGATATCTTTACTTTCAATTTCCAGAATGAAATTTACAACAAGGGCCTAGGCGGATTCTGGCACAGAGGTCTCATGAATGTTGAGTCATTAGATGCTGTAATATGGCGTAATTTACAACGGTACTTGATACGGGAGCGCGTTTACACTACCTTGGAAGCAGGCTCAAATTCGCTTGTTGCCAATTTAGATTGGTCTGCAACTCCTTACAAAGAGAGGATAACTCTACGCCGTCAAATGTTTCCGCGTGCTGCTTGCTCTATCCAGAAAATACTTGATGTTCTAGCCGTGACGGAAGAGATAATCGGCCTTAGCATTGGAGCTATTGCGTGGGCATGTCTTCTGGGTGCCGTCGAGGTATGTTGATTGGTATCCATCAAAAAAATTTAAGCTAATTAATCTTTACAGAACTTGCTTTCGCTTGATCCAAATTGGACAGTTGACCCCCCAGTCAAAATTATCACAGAAATGAGCGAAATCGTTAGCAAAATCGCTCGATATACCGTCATGGAGAATATTTACGCTCAGTGGAAAGGAATGAGTCTTAATAAAGATTACGAACATTTTCTTATCAACCTATCCACTCATATCTTGATCTATCTCGGGGCTTTCGTTCCAAGTCTCTCAGAGAATAGCACGAATGCCGATATGAAGCCCTATTTTGATAAAATCATCGACGCCGACACGGCATGTCGCGGGTTCACGGTTATCGTGAGCGCCGAGAGTACTACCATTGATCGGAAACGCTCATTTGAGGAATTTTCGGATGATTCGGGCGACACTGACGATTTAGACGGGGCTATCTTACGAGTTGATGGTGATGATGAAGTAAATAATATGCCATCGTCAGCAAAGCGCATTAGGTTATAAAAACGGGAGTCCGTTTGGGGCTGTAATCGTCTGGTTTGAAATATATACCATTGTTTATTTTGTAGTCATATTTCGTACTTATATTTGCCAGTAAAATACCTTCATTTTGTGTCTTAACACGGGAGTGCAAATCACTTATCACATGGAAGAGATGGAACCTAAATCACTTGTTGGGAAAAGTAAAATGGAATTTATTGTGACCGAGATTCGTTCATCGATTCGGACCAGGAAGAATCTCAAGATCGAGTTAAGTGCAAAATACCAAATATTTAGAACGACATCTTCTGCATAGTTGAACCTCGCGTTGAATTCCCAAGAACAAAGTTTGCCATTCCAAATTGCTCTTCCAACTTCCAGGCGATAGCTAAAGTAAACAAGATATCAACTGTCTAATCGATCATTGCGCTCAGCCTTCACTTCCTCTCCATACACCACTCTCTAAACTATTATCCTAGCCTCTAAATCCCAACGCCCTCTTCAGTGCCACTAATTTCGACCTCGCTTCTTTCGTTCTAACCCTTCTGCAACTATCACAAAAATCTCTATCTTCGTGATTCCAGGCATAACATCCCAACTACCAAGATTAATCAATTAGCATTGTCTCCAAGATTCCACATCTCAATACACAAAAGGATTAATCGACAGAAATCAAACATACCATCCCTTCCTCCAAATCCTCATTCGGCACACATTGTCACATCTCCTTCATCTCCTCCTTATTCCCTCCAAAATAATCTATCGGTCTTCGAAGCGTCTGCATAACTCCAGAGAAATCGAGGTCGATGGTGATAGTAGGTGATCTTGGGGCTCTGAAACGCTGGCTTTCCATATCATCGATTGTGTAATCCTGTGAATTGCATAGAGGCTTGGCTGGAGGGGTTACGTTTCCTCGATGGCTTCTGCGCCGCGGTCTCTGTGTTAGCGCGCAGGTTGGTTCTGAGTTTGTGTTTTGATGTGCGTCTTGAGTAGTTGAATATGTGCTCTGTGAGTCATTTGCTTGATCTTCGAGGTAGAGAGTAGAGTGTTGATCGTGGGTATCACTGGTTCTGCGATGTCTGTCTGCAAGATTGTTGTCTACATTGTACTTTGAATGATTCCTTGGGTTTTGGGTGCTGGAATACTGACCCTCGAGATTGATGTCACGGTCTTCACTGCATCTTCGGTGAATAGAATAAGAGCCTTGGTTTCCGGACTGGCTTCTCGGGTTATTTTCCTCTGGTGTGGAAATTCCGGGAATAGTGAATTGAAGTTCTGGATTACTGGTGCTGCGAGGTCTTTGTATGGGTGTGTTGAAGAGGGTTCGTCTTGAATTATGCGCAAAGTTTTGGGTACTGGGATCTTGGATATCATAACCTTCGACTGCGTACGATGAGGGAGAATCGTGGGTTTTGATGCTATATTGGTGGTTTGAATGTTGGTAGCTTGGATGATCGGTACTATGGTGTATTTGAGGAGATGGGTCTTGAAAGCTGTGGATAACAGATTGCTGAGTCTGCTGGCTCTCTATATCAATGTTTGATCAACGCAGAGGGGAAGATAAAAATCTCTTGAATCTTGAGGGTGGATTCATATCTGTGTTGGACATGATAGTAGTTCGTCGTTTGTCTTTGTGTATTATTGGTTTAAGGATTGTAGTGATGATAGATGTAAACTATTCAGCTTTTCCTCTGGAAAAGGTCAAATGTTCAAGAGGTATTTAAATCTCTATCCAAATCTCGTATGGTTTCTATGCGGTTATGAAGATTCAGAACAGGGATTGGCTCTATGCCGTACATTGAGGGCAATTTTGAATAATTTCTGAATCATTAAATACACCAGAGAAATACGCATCTGTTACACAACAGTACTTATGAATACTCAAAATCATCTAGAATATTCAAATACACATTCTTTTCCCCCCCAAAACCATAATTCAGAACATGACTAGATACCGAGTAATGCGCCTTTTGTAGTGCTTGCCAACTGTAATCTCCAAAATCTCTGTTCGGCGCACAAGAACATTTCTCCATTCTTTCCAAAGCAAAAGTTTGCTACGCCGCCAGGAACTAAAATAGTACCAATCAAAGTCCCGGCTGGATTCCAGACTTCAACGCCATCGCCGCAGCCAGAGTATACATTACCGTGAACATCACATTTGATGCCATCCGGGAAGCCGTCGATTGCATATGTGAAAACTCTTCGGTTGGCGAGGAAGGGCGCGCCTGATGTCATGTGAACATCAAAAGCATAGATAGTTGCAGGACTAGATCGAAGTCAGTGAACGATCCATAATGTAAGATGAAGAGACATACCGCGTCAAATCCTCATTTCCATCTCCGTGGATCTGATCTGTATCCGTAATATAAACCAATGACTCATCCGGTGAGAAAGCAATTCCATTTGGTCTACCAAATCCATCTGCTACAACTCTAATATCTCCCGTAATGGGATTGAATCTATATACTTGGCAAGGCAGTTTGGGCTTTGATCGGAAATCTTGCTCCCATCCATAACATGGATCTGTAAACCAAATGCTACCATCTTTAGCCACCACGACATCATTCACAGAATTGAATTGTCTTCCATGAAAATTCGTCACCATCGGTTTCGGAGGTGAAGATCTGGGCATATGATAAATACCACCTGAGCCTGCGCTTCTATTTCCTTGAGCACAAAATAGAATACCATCTTGATAATTAACACCACCATTCGGCATGTCAATGCCTGGTGGTGGACGCATTTTAGCCCACTCAGCAGATTTGATACTTCCGTCGTCATTGCGATGGAGCTTAATTCTAGATATCAGAATAGTTGGGAAGTTTGCGGAACTAGTAGCTTGTAGGAGGTTTGATGTGACATAAAGCTCATCGTGGTCGGGTAACAGGACACAAGCTTCGTGAAAGAAAGGGTTGTTGGTCGAGCCAGCGGTAGAAAATAGGAGTGCATGCGACGGTGCTTCGCCAATCAATGAGGCAAATGCGGAATCATGTTGCAGAAGAGTGACTTGGTCTGAAAGACCATATGTGGTACTGAGGGAAATGTGTCAGCATCGATGTTATTGACGGAGCAACAAAGACTAACGTAACATTTCCACTGCTTGCCTTTAACTTGTCAACAATCTAGTAAAAAGTATCAGTGAGTAGTAAGGATACAATGATGATGCAATAACATTACCTCTATCTTGGTGGGCACGCTTGATATATCAGAATTGGTTACTGCTGCCATTCTTGCGCCTTCAAAGCTTCTGGATTGATCTGAAGCTTAAATCGCCGCAAACATCAACGTGGAAGATGTCTAATGTACGTACCGAAGCTTGTTTGGTCCTTCTTGATCATATGAGGTCTTGAATCTTGAGAGCAACAGTAATTGAAAAGGTGGGGTGGTGATGCCGGAGAGCTATCGCCGGTATTCATCCGAGACATCGCGGGGAATTTGGAACGACAACGACCCGAAAGCTCACCGGAATAGTTTTTAGGTAGGAACCTGGCCGTACAAGTTTGGACTTCAAGAAGTTGGGCCACATCAATATCTACAGAAGTTTCAAGAAAAGACAGGAGTTTGATACAATAATGTGCATATCTATTCTGGAAGAACATTCCCTCGGGATTGAACCCTTCTTAAAATGCCATTTCATTGATCTATAGTATGCTATCAGATTCAGTTGACAACCGAGATTGTTTCAAATGTTTCTAGCACGAATAGTAAGTTTATATCGACAATTCTTCCGTTTTCATCGGGAGTTCCAAGGCTTTGCAGAATCCATTGGAGGAGTGTGGAGTCTTGAAAGAACATGACTACGACTCGTCATCACGTATCCCATGATACTTATATAAAAGCTTCAATGAGAGATAGGATAGGAGCATTAGTTATTTATCCCGCTGACGAGGATTCTCGTGTTTAGCATTAATTTCATTGTTGAAGAACTTCGGACATTGACTCCTAATCACGCTGCACCAAAACCGGACTAACTGTGCCATTTCATACGCACGAACAAAACAGAAATGAGAGAGAATTCCCGCTTCGCACTATTGTATCCTCATCCATTCATAGCTACCAACTTCAACCCAAACAACAGAACAATAGCCAAAAGGAAAGTAACCTTCACCTCATTACATGTGTACGCATCCCAGCCTTACTTCATTACATAGCGCAAATGAACCCTACAGCCACCGCTAATGCCAACCCTAGGCTCAAATTGTACATAACCGGCGTCGCGTTCGAGGTAGTCACCTGAATTGGTCCTGTCGTCTGCGCCGCCGTGCTATCCCTAGTGACAGTACTACTTCCAAACACTGACTCCCCAGCCTTAGAACTTATACTGCTAGGCGATGTTGATTCCCAGTTATCAACCCCGGTACTACTCGCCCATGAGGAGCTCCAGTTGTCAGCTCCGGTACTTCTTGTCCATGACGAGCCCCGACTGGCATCCCCGGTATGACTCGTCCACGACGACTCCCAATCACCAAACTTAGTACTACTCGCCCATGTCGACTCCCAAGTACTAAGCGGTGTTGCCGTCGTACCGCCTACTACTCCGACAGGTGTAGTTTTCCAAACAGTGGCAGTGGTTAAGATACTCTCGAGACTGTACACACTGTCTAGTATGCTTACAGCATTATCGACATAGGATTTTGCGTCTGGAGATAGTGAGGTATACCAATCCGGCTTGTTGGTACCAGAAAGTTGTTCGTCTAGTTGCGAAACCCCTGTTGGAGAGTATCCAAGGGTTGAGGCTGAGCTGGGAATGTTGGAAAGTTCGAAGGCAAGGGATGAGGGGATGTCGAGGGCAGTGGAGAGAGCAGAGAGACTGGAGACTATACCAGAGCTGCATTGATATATGAGTGTCAGTTGTAAGCCTTTCGGCGGAGGTGAAAGAAGAGGAAAGCAGAAGGGGGAAGAATTGACGTGGATCCATGGGAAACTTACACTACAGCCGCCTGACTTGCGTCCAATGCAACGTCCGGTACACCAGCCTGGCTTGGATTAATTGGGTAATCGACGACAGCATCTTGATTATCATCCGATGGATAATTCGCAAACACCACAGTGCAAAGGCTGGCCACCATCACCAAAATATTGATACGCATGGTCGCAATTTTGAAAGATGCGTTACTGGCCCAGTCCAAGTTACCTGTTGAAAGTAGGAGATTTCGGAGGAATGATTTATGTTCGAAAACTTTCGGGGTTCGTAAGTGAAAGATAAGAAATTTGCGAACAAACATGAGAATAACAGGAAGTTATCTGCACATTAAATCCTGAGTTCTCTCATACAAACGTAGATAATTGGGATGGCTTGTCACGGGCTGCAATCAACCACATTTTCTTCCCGCATTGCGTACCCCGCCATGCCGGGCATGTATTCCCGGTACATACTTATCCTTTCGGCGAACAACATGCAATCTTATTTTGAAAGAAACCAAAATTGATACAAGCCTCGTATGCTTTTAAGAAGTCGCCATAATAAGAGACTCTTGGTTTATGACACGATTCGGCAGCAATCATCATAAAAGAATAGGTTGGGGCTAAAGAACTCATAGCTTGATATCATAGAGAACTATATCACACGCATAGTCAGGCGGATGACACAAACTCACCTTGACATTGGAGTCTGTCAAGACTGCATCGTAAACATGATTCTCGCTCTCCTTTTTCCCTCCTCGCTTCATTCAGTTCGAACTTCGCATGAACAAGACCATGTTCCTCAACCTCTTCACATTTTCTGTGACCTGTGTAGTTAATATCCCAAGCCTTCTCAACAAATCTGCGCTTGGCAGGCTCGCCCAGTCAAGCAGCACAATTGATTGGTTATATCCATACCACATTCCCACTCAAGCATGCACATGGGCTACCCTGTCAAATAGTCTTTCAAGAGAACGGAGCTCCGCTTGACGCCTCACTGCAACTTTCGGTACTTGACATGGTCCCCCACATTATACGTGATCTGGCAACACAAACATTACATATGTTTGCACCACCACTTATTCACAATACCTTGACGGTACAATTATAGCCAGGGCGATGATCCGAAACTCTTCGACAGCCTGCCACATGTTGATGGCGATTTGTGTTTCAGTCGGTGTTATGTGTTTCGTATTCGCTTGCAGTTTGATAGAATGGAGTATCATGGGGTAGTCCGTAAGCTGACGCAGAATGCTGCCGAAGTTTCTATATACACCTCTGAAGGTCTTGGGATTGATGTTTCATATGCGTGATCAAATAGATTGGAACGAGTCTTCGATGAGGCTACAAGAACGATTACAGTCCTGTAACCCTAGGTGTGGAGTTTGAGCTTATAAAATGATGCCCTCCACTTCTGCATCTACACTTGCTTATTTACAGTATTTTGAAAACAAAACAGCACGATCATTACTCTGCGCATTTATCAAGTATGTTGTAAGATGTTAACAAGAATTGATCTCGATTTATCTCGTTCGCAAATATCCATTTTTAATCTTTCAAATTTGTGAGCCTGATACACAATTCAATGAACAAAAGTTGACTAAAGTTGTGACAGAACTTTCAGATCAGAATATTATCATATCGCAATGGTTTTTCTAGACAAGAGGTCAATAGAAATTAGCCAAGGGGTGATAGTTTCTCACTCACAACTGTAATCTCGGCGCATGGATTACCAATATAACTGTTGGTATCACCATGGGGATGGTGAAGTCAATATAGTACTATGGTTCACACTGTTGTTATATTGCTTGAGGTTCTAAAAGCTAGGGCTACGAAACGTATTACTGTAGTGTCGGAAGACGCTAGCGTCAACGCTAGCGTAGTCACATGATCCCTGTCCCAACAATAACCTTACAGATGCTATATCATGGAATTCCACCGTGAACGCGATGACATTGCCTTTTTGAATTTTACATCAGATTGGCATTTCTCTAATAGTTTAATCTTTTCGATGTGATTCGATGAGCACTTACAGGTAACTTCTTGCGGTCTTTTGATCTATTTCGAACTCTTCATCGAAATAGGGTTTCTTTTGCGACGATTTTCGGCCAACACTTATCTTTTCTCTTCAATTATTGGCAAAGACGTTCTTTATATGACCTCTACGCAGTTATAACTGCTGTCTGGCAGTTCCATTTCATATCAGCGGACCTTCATAAACAATCAAAGCAGGTAGAATGACTGGAAGTGTAGCATCTTCGATGTGAGGGTGAGAATAGAGGGGACAGAAGCTCGCAGGTAAGGGACGGAGTGGTCAAACTAGAGGAAGAAACATGAGTGATTGATCTTGAACCACTCAGGAAGGTCCAGAAATTTCAGCTACAAAAGGTCACGCGAGCAGGAATCCTTTCGCCCTGACCAGAAGAATGATAGATTTCTGCGCTCTTCATGTGATCCCTACATATTCACACCTAAAATTCGAGAGACAACCAAATACAACGAGATATCGCAGTGTCGCCATAGGATACATGGCCAAATTGAATAGGATAGGAGCTGCACTTCCCCTTTCCAAGAAAATACATTTTTACGTCGATGTTCAAACTCCAATTAATCGTAACCTCTATACAGATCCTTCATCTGGGCCTTCAATCCAAGATTGGTATGTACTCCCAAGATTTTAACGTAAGGTGGTCTAGATAGGTCGGGTAAAACGGTCGGCTATTGACGACCATCGGCTGACTCGGGCTGGGTTAGACAAAATGTTCCTTCGCAGTTGAAGGGTTTGGGTCTATTGTTTACTAAAACATTTGGTGGATAGAATCGTTTTTCTATTTTTAGATATTTGATTGTAAATTGACTAGATTGATTTCGTTTTTCGACTTCCAAATTCTAAATCGAAGACTTACAAACCTAGATCTTGATCACCAGTATTCAACTCAGATTTCCAGCCCCACATTTTATGCTCAGAATCCAAATCTAAATCCTTTAATTCGAGTAGAAAATGGTTATAAGTTCCTAATTTCGTAAAATAATAACTATAGATACCTAATTCCAGTTCTTGAGGATCAATTTTCGTTCCTTCACGGGCCGGGTCATGGGTCTGGTCTGGTCTTGAAGGGAAACTGTGGTAAGAGTACACAATCCACCCTTAGCGAGCCCCAGCTCTAACTGCCTTGTAGGTAACTGAATTTCTAGCTTTTTTCGCTTCAAGCACATCTCCTAGGTTCCATCCAAATGTAAAACTATAAATATCTACACCAAGCAGCCCACATTCAGATACATACTCATAGATTCTTCATCTTAGCGCAGACTATCTACAAGTCGTTTATTCTTTATAAGTAAAACCACATTATAAACTCCAGATAAACTCGAAAACAATGCCAGCACCCAAACCAAAAAGTAGTTCTCGACAGAACAGCAGTTCTAATCCAGGCTCTACCCAAGGCAAAGCTTCCTACAAACCAACAAGATCAACGTCTTTTTGTCCAGACCCCATTCGAGAGGACCCTTCTGACCGCAGTGATCAAGCCCCAAAAACACAAATTATGAAGAAACCTCTACGAGCTTCCCCAGAGCCAATGAATCCAGACGCCCCAGGCCAAGTACTAGCGGAAAAGGCAAAGAAACGGAAGAATCCAGCTCTTACGAAAAAGTAAAGCGAACCCCATCGCTCCACTCAACTCTCGAAAATTATCTGAAGAAAAACGGTGTCTGCGATCAGCAACAATGGAATTGAAACACTTCCCTAGCAGACCTTATTCTCTCGAATGAAGATAGCAAAGTGTTCTGGTTGATCAAATGCTTTGACCGATGCAATTGGAAAATACGGGGGAGAATGCTCACCTCGGGTCGAAGCCTAGGGAGGAGAAATTCTGCAGGTAAAAAAGATGGAGGGTGTTCGCTATCACTCTTTCTTTGTTGGGAAAGCCCTTTGGGTAAATTAGTGAGATAGAGAATTGAAAAACACTCCAGCATTTATAATTTCGGCTAGAAGCTTTACTCAGTTGTTTCCATTCCTTGGAGTTTGGCCACATCTCATGTTGTTTGATTTGAAAGAAGTGAGCGGTAAGATACGCAGATCCATATTTTATTTGATTGATCTGTCTCCTCATTGCCCCTTTTCAGTGAAGGTTTGTTTTGTAGCCGACAAAGGTGAATTTTATGCTGTTATTGGGTGACTCACTCGCCTCAGGTTTTGTTATTGCAAAGTCACTTAGAAAAACATCATCCCTCAAAAGCCACTGCGTTTTCAAAAAATTCTTGTTAGGGGGACGACACGATGAAGATATGTTAGCGGAGGTAAAGATTAATAATACACAATAACAAGGAACGAAGCGCTGGCATTTGTGGAGGTTCTATATGAAATGAATGCTGAAATACGCTTGATGCACAACTAATACTTCCGCTGATAGCGTCTACAATGGTTGAAAACAATAACAATATTATAGTATTGACAGGAGTAAGAGTTGACAACACTAGAGTCCAAAAAATTAAGGAGAGCAATCAAGGGCCTTCAAGTATAAAAACTCACCCAAAGAACAAAATTCCAAAACACAGATCATGCGCCGCAACGTATCCAATGTCCCGAGAAGGCTCAGAAAGGCGTAATTTTCCTCGTCTAGAAACAAACCATAATATTGAATATTACATACACCTCCTAAAAGCCCCTCATTTGCATAGACACACCATCACCCTCCATCTAATTGATCTATTCCAGAATCTCGAGATCCTTCCTAAAAGAACTAGCATTCGCTTGAAATTTATTGGTCAATCCATTAGTATCTTCTTGCTTATATAAGGCCCTGGTACTCTCCATTTTGTCAGAACCGAACTAAAATCTGGCGACAAAAATGGTATGATTGCTTGCAATCAGACTAACCATCTTCTCAATACTTCATCCTTTACAAGAGTTATGATGCTACTGCAAATGAGACCAACAAGTACGAAAGTCAACAATAAATTTAATAACAAGAGATGGTAACAAAGATAGGGAGATGACAACGACATCGAAATCAAAACAGGTGCGTGACAGTGAAAGTCTGGGATGATATCAAATGAAAATTAAAGCCAAAAACCACCTTGTTTTCGTGAAGGAAGATCAAAACGACAGATAGATATATCTGGTAAAGTTGAGGTGAGTTTCACACTCCTATCCATCATTTTCGAGTCTACAATTTGATTCAACTATTGAAGAGAACAATAAAATTGTTGAGGTTTTATAGCCACTGTATAAAAAATCATGCGCTTTCTTCAACGAATTGAATGCCGCACTCACCTTATTCCTTCGGTTTATTGTGACTACAGGGTAAGAATAGCAGGTTCACTGAGCTAATCACATTGGCCCATTAACAACCTCCCCCTTTTTTTCCCTATCTAACTCTTTCTTTCCTTGGCGCGTTATGTCCTAATAAGCCACAACACAACATTCAATTGATATAACCCCACGAATACTTTGAACAAACAAGCAAGATAGCAACATAAAAGCCGTTTGATTCCCCATAGTCTAAGCTTCTGTAATCAAAAGAGATTCTAGGGATATGGTGAGAACTATGATTTCAATGAGAACGAGAAAAAGTAGATTCAGTCAACCTATTAGTTGTTGGGCGTAGGGTATAGGATTTGACAGTTTTTTAATTAGTGACTAAATTTAATGGTGTGACGATAAATCATGAATCAACGACAACGGTTGGGCGATGACAACTTCGAGAGCTAGGAGAGATTGAGATGCCATGAGATGCAAGTATGACAATAGACAACAAGATTGACTGAAGAAAGCAAGCTTCACTTTGATCTGAGAACTACTCCCGTGAGGCGAAACTAGGCCACAGAATATCATGTGTTGTCACTAGCTATGTGTTTCTCTCTCTCAGAAACACATGCTAGTCTAGAATCTTAATTACCTCTCTCTTTCGCTGAGAATCTTTGACTTTTCCCCTCCCCCTCTAGTTGGGCCCCTAGGCTCCCCCAGATCAAACGGCACAATAAGTTGTTACCGTCACATTCTCAGGGCGTTCACACAGAATTTTCGATGATTTCACGGGGAAAAAGCTCGTGTAAACTAAACCACAGGCCGACAATGAGACAACCAATATAGCCTCCAACCCGACATCAATCACCGACGATTGAAATTAGCGATACTTATATAACAACGACGTCCTTTTCGGCTTCACCAGACGAGTTTGAGTTCATCCAACAAGAAAGACTGAGATTCCCTTGGATCCTACTCAAATGTTCAAGATAAGAGATGAATGATGAAGCGATGAATCACACTCATAACCAGGTAAACGACGGATAGGTTTGGGAGGATAAAGATGATAATTTAAAAAAGATGTGGGGTAATTTCGAGAGAAAAGCAGAACTATCTGAAGGGAGTAGAATGATAATGAGGGATTACCAATCTAGACTTCCTACAAGTTGCTCGTGTACTGCACTGATCTTCTTCACGTTGAGGATTGCGACTCGTTGTAAGAATTTGATCAACACCCACAATCGAAACTAAAAGTTACTCATACATAAAGTGTCAACAATCCAATTCCATCTAACACCTTCCACTACTTCCTCCACTGCCCACCCACACATCACGTCTGATCGTCGACCCACCAGTGCCACATTCCGGAACCACACTTGTTCTATTCTTCGTCTCATAAATCGGAGCTTGACCGCAATCTTGTTCCCTCACATAAACGTAACTAACCGGCTCTCCAGCCGTCAATTGCGCATCCACATACCAAATAGGGTTATCCGTCGTATACATCCCTGCATTCATAGGTAACGCACTGTTCAAATTCCATGCTCCCAAATCCGTGGAATTTCCAATAATGTAAAGATTTTCGCCATAATATGTTGTAGCATTAACATAGAATCGCACTGGATATTGACATGTTACCGTTACATTTGGGGCCCCTGCTGCAATGGCTGGAACATACACTCCTTGAGAAGATGAAGATGCGCAATTTGGGGGTGGAACTGCTGCTGCCGCACTTCCCCAACTGGCAGGATATTGACCGGAACGTCTTTGAGCCATGGTGACAAATGCTGCGTAACTCCATGTTAGGTCATTGGCGGAAATGGGGGCTCCTGTGTTGCGGTCGAATTGTTCGGCTAGAGATCCATTGCTGGGTGTATATTTTCGAGCAATTGCGACAAAAGAGTCAGCGTAAGTTGTTACGACGTTAAGAATTTTGCTAAACTCGTTATCCCTATTTGTGTAACTCTTAAGTTTTATGGATGGGTAAAGATCGCGGAAGAAATTGATGGATGTTGAATCGACGGTGAGTTTTTTGTGATTCTTCCATTGTGCAACAGCATCGTAGAGAAATTCTGCAGCAGCAGTAGTAAGTACCTGCGAAAGTTAGCCTCAAGCGTAATGATCCGCAGGGGGTGGAAGGAAATACCATGGGTTTCCTCCTTGATAAACATCTTCGGCATATCTTCCAACAGCGACGCCTGAGTTGTTTTTGATACCAGCATTGATACCATAAATTCGGAAGCTATTCACAACTGCCCTAAAATTAGACAACGCTCTGCTACTACAAGGTTGTAAATTTGGACTATCACAAGATCCATCAATATCGAAGATAGAAATCGATCCAAGAATAGAGGCCCCGTCTAGCCCGGTTCTTCTGTTATTAGTATTTATGTTCGAGACGATATATTCTCCGTTCCAAAAACTCTGATTGAGGAAACATAGAGCTTCTAATGCATTGAGATATCCTGGAGATTCAACACCGAGCTTATTGGCCAGATTCCCGGCCTCAACAAAAGCACGGTGCTGATTTTGTAAGGTAAAGAAACTAGATCCCAGAACTTCTTCCCATAAATCATATCCGGTCTCGTTCCAGTACTCGCCAATATATGATAAGTCATTTGCGATGATAGGCCATATGACTAGCTTGGCTCTTTGAAGCTGACTATGGTTTATCAACCAATTGCTATAGGCCATTAGAGCGATGGCACGAAGAGCTGGACCATCACGTTGGGGTCTACCCCATGCTGGGGAATGTTAGCGGGTGCCTGAAATTACTTCTGAATATTACATACCACCATTAAATCGAGTACCATCAACCTCGTATTTAGGTTCACCGAGTCCTAGACCATTAGGAAGAAATGTGCCAGAAGGATTCGTGACAGTTTGAAGGATGGCTTGAGCTTTGACGTATTTCTCAATTTGAGGTTGGAGTGCACGATTGCCAAAGATAAATTCATCAACAAGCATTTTTAACGTCAACGCCGAATCTCGCGTCCAGGTATAAAAGTCTGGGTTCAATTAGCCTGATTTGCCTTGGAAACACAACGGTAGTCTCTCTCACAATCAGGGTTGGCCTTCGAAGGACTTGCAATGACATAATTGCCTGCTCCTGATGCTTTCGACCCATCTGGTCCAATATTGTTGAGAACACCCTGAAGGGCAATTTTTCTCTCAGAAGCAATGAAGGAATCAAGATTATTGTAACTTTCAGCCAAATCTCTTGGTGAAATCGCGGTTGCTTGTACACATAGAAGCGACAAAACCGCAACAGTTGAAGAAACCAGCATCTTGAACATTGACAATTATTTACCTCAAGTTGAGAAGAAAAGAAACAAATGTGGTGCAAACGAAATAAGTTGCAGCAACCTGAGCACTTATTATAATCTTACTTTTTCGTCTCATGTCACAAATATCGTAATTGGCCAAACTAACCTCCACGTTCTTGAGATGTCTATTTTCCCGCAACAACGTTAGGTAAAAGGCGACGGCACGATACTACAAAACCCCTCAAGTGCTTGGCTTTCATACATGTACAAAGTATGTAAGATTACCTTCCCCGCTTGTAACCCTGCAAAATAATCGCGCCGTCGTCTTGCTCCTTCCATCTGGATTACATGGAGTCAAATCAGCTGGGACGAAGGACAAAACATTCGCAAGCCGAACAGGTAACCGTACGTTACGCTCTTGAGATAAACTCTATTGCCAATACCAAGGCAAAGCTGAGGGGCTGAGTTACAACACCCTTCATAAATTGGCTTTTTGGAAATTCCGGGTACTTTACCCAGAATGCCCAGGATATACCTATGTTTGATGAAAGAGAAGAGAAGAATTGGCTGCTGCGTAAAACGGCTAATTATCGAACATTGGAAATTGGAAAGACTCACATGATCTTCTCGTGACCAAAAAAGGTCATCTGTTGCATGTCTTCATTCAGAACCGCCGCAGAATGGTGAACTCCTTCGCTTATGTAATCTCCCGCTATTACCATCACATCGTCTGTTGAATGTGTAGGTAAATCGACCACCCTACTTTCGGGCCACCCCTATTTTAAGGAGAGCGATTGAAATAGCGATACGCTAATTGAACTTAAACCTAATTAGGAATTGAAATAAAGCACGTTCAAGATTAGGTTTTTATACATATACAAAAGGATACTACAAAACTTATTTAAAACCTTATACCTCAATACAAGGTTCATAAATTATATTTTCTTTTTATCTCTAAATCGAAATGAATCACCTACCTTTACTACTACAAAACATCGAATTTCGATATCATTTTTTATTCGAATTAGTTTCATTACCTTTTACAATATCATATATAAAATACAACTTAATCTGATCAATAATTGATAATATTTATTCTATACATAAATCACATAAATACACTACAAAATTCGAAGAATATGGTTTTGAATTATATATAGGTATAAAAAAAGTAAAAGTTGATAAGGAATTATATAATATTGAATCAAATGATATACATACAAAACTGAATATAAAAAAACAACTAAAACAAATTAAAACTAAATTCTATAAATTATCAAAGTACTCTGATTTATTGAAATTGATATAAAAAGCCATTATTTGTTACAACGGATTAGTAACAGGCTATAGAATCATTAACGTATAGGCTATAATGGTACTATAAGCCTCGGTGATTCAGCTGTAGTATACCAGGGGACGCTAGGCATTTAGGAAAGCCTCAGGCATGTATATAGTATTAGTCATAAGATACTTTAGAAACATAGGATATAGTTTTTAGGACAATAGGTTCTAGGAAAGACAGAATATAATAAGTAAGAAGGCTTTATTAGGATTAGTAATATCCTAGGGGATTAGTTTCAAAACAAAAGAATAAGTTAGGATATTAAGAGTTATAGGATTAGTGTTTTGTGATGGATACTTTAGGAACGATAGTGTTTTAGGAGTATTTGGTTATTCTAGTTGTTTAAGAAGGATAAAGATTTATATAAGGAAATAAGTTTCATTATAATATAGAGCTTTGTACTTAAGAATAATTATTAGTTTTATTATTATAGTTATAAGAATTATAATTAATTATAATCTTATTGAATTCCTATTTGAAGTTTAATTGAAATTACTTTGAAAGAATTCTAGATATTTTTATGTGATTTTAGAGGTAGTTTCTGTAACATTTTGAGTATTCTTTTTACTTCAAATATTGATTTGATAATTTATTGCTGAAATATAGCAATTAGAAATATTTCTATAGGACAATTTGTATTAGTAGTAAATATTAACAATATTGAAATAATTGATACTTTATAAAAAATCATTATTAATGAAACCTTTAAGATTGTTTTATTAGATAAGTATCAAGATAGTTAATAAAAACTCGATACTTTTCTCTTATAGTTAAAAATCTATTTCTAATTCAATAAGAATAAATTCATAACTACAAAATCCAAGAGTGTATAAATTGTATTCTATCTTAAAGAAAAAGCAAACAAATGGATTTAATTATATTTGTAAGATTATTTCGAGTATGATAAATAAGATTGTATGTAACTTACTCGAACAATCTTCAATAGTTTTAAAGGATTTAAGATAGAAATTCATAGAATCTTTGGGAATTCTGATGAGCTAGAAATAGTAGAAGATAAGATCTTTAATTTTAAATAAATAGAATTAGTATTGAAGTATACTACAGAATTCCGAAGATATATAAAAACGATTAAGTAGGATGAAATTGTTATTATGAATTATTATTATAAAGGATTTAAATTAGAAGTTAGATTAAAGTTAGAAAGATTTATTGAAAGTGTAAACTTGAACAATCTAATTTAAGATTTTATTGAATTAAATGATTATCTTTACTAATATCAATAAAGTTAAAGATTATACAAATTCTAAGGAAATCAAAAGCAAAAGTGTTATTATAAGAATGAGGGAAGATTATATTATAATTTATAAAGATATAAAAACCTTATAAAACTTGATGCTATATATTATAAAAACGGGAATGATAATTTAGAAAAGAAATGAAGATAAGAAAATAACTTATACTTTGAATATAGAAAAGTAAGGTATTGGGTAGTAGAATGTTGAAGTAAGAAAACAGGGGGTAAGAAGGTGTTACGGGAGCTGCCTCTAGGGTCACGTGGAAGTGTCTAGAGATCTCTCGAGGTGGTTTAGACTAGACTTCAAGTAGGAATTCAATAAGGTTGGTAACTGGTTGCAATTCTCGTAACTATAGTAATGAAACTAATGATTGTTCTTGAGCACGAAGCTCTACATTGTAATCAAATCTGTTCTCTTATATAGACCTTCCTGCTCTGCAGAACCTACAGTTCTGTCTTGTCTGGATCCTCTGGATCCTATGGATCTAGATGTTTATTCTTCGATCCCTTAGATCCTCTAGGTCCATCACGTGACTTCCTGACCATGTGACGCGGTATATTGGATGCCGTCGTAACAGAAGGGCAACTTTAAGAATAAGTTTAATAAAGATTAACTTAATACTATCTTCATATTACAATTATATACTGTTAGTATGACAGGGCTAGTTATGTTATTATTAGCTTATAAAGAAAAGCTCGAAAAAGAAGAAAAAATCGAATACCTTTTATGGGTAAATAAAGATCCGTGATTAAAAGAATTATGGATTATTTGACAAATCGATTAATGGAATTATTATATCTAAAGATTTGAAAATATTAATGAAGGAATTATCAATTATAACCTTAATATAATGAATATTGAAAAGAGTAAAACTTATAAGATTCAGTATATCAACCAATACTAAATCCTATAATTCAGAATTATTACAAATTCATTCTTTTTGAAAAGAATTAATAATAAATATTTAAAATGGTTAAATTAAGGGGAGTTATGGGAAATCTTTTATTATTATATATCAGAGAACAATAAAAATCAGATTCTATTTCTTTACAAAAAGGTTAAAAAAGAGTATTATGTTCAGGTTTAGATTATACTATCATTATTAATGGTAAAGATAATAATAAGAATAATCTAAAGAATGTGTTGATATACTTTATAAAAGGATTTACTTGATGATAAGATCAGATTAGAAATCAGTACCATTTATCTAGAAGAAGAAGAGCCTTAGTGGGTAATATTAGAGGATAAGATTATTTAGAATAACGAAAATGAGCAAATTATATTATAACTAAATGTTACAAAATAAGTAGAACAAATATATTATAAAATCAAAATAAATGAATAAATACAACAAATTATAATAGATTTAGAAATTATAGGAAATTTTATTATATTAGAAGCTATAAAGTACTTAAAAATCCTATTCTAGAAGAAACAAAACCTTTATCAATTATAGCTAATTGATAAACAGCTAGTAAAATCTAATGGAAATGTTTTATAAAAGATACAACTAATACAAATAAATATAACCTAACATTTGAAGATTATATAACTTGATATTATACTATTAGGCCAACAACAGATCATCTTAGGAATACCATAATTAAAGGTATATAATCCCAGAATAGATTAGTTATAAGAAACAATAACATTTAATCAATACAAGAACAATTATAACAACACATTTAAAGCATTTACAAAACATAATATATGTTACGGGAGCTGCCTCTAGGGTCACGTGGAAGTGGCTAGAGATCTCTCGAGGTGGTTTAGACTAGACTTCAAGTAGGAATTCAATAAGGTTGTAACTGGTTGCAATTCTCGTAACTATAGTATGAAACTAATGATTGATCTTGAGCACGAAGCTCTACACTGTAATGAAACCCATTCCTTTATATAGACCTTCGTTCTCTGTGCTCAGTCGGATCACAAATGATCCCTCTGATCCGATCAACTGGATCACTAATGATCCCTCTGATCCGGTTACCTAAGCGTCGGGGTCACGTGACGTCTATTGTGGCAGACCATCGTAACAATATACATCAAGAAAAGTTAAATATGAACAACATTAATAATATAGAATATTTAGTTTAAAATCCTTTATTAAAAGCAAAAACCAATACATCTCCTCTACAAATACAAAAGTTGTTCACAATAAAGGAGCAGGCCAGTGGAATGCATGTATTATTGACTATGTAGATTAATTGTACTAAGGTAAAATCTAACTACGAAGTGGAAGTGATATATGCACAGTAGCTTAGAGCACGTGCCACAACTTCCAACACTCCCCCAGAGAGCTTACTCTCTCAGCTTCAGTAGTTAGTTTCTTTAAAATTCCTTTTATACGCCCAATAACTGATTGCTTCGAAATTCGTTATTCCTTGATCGTAGGGTTACTGTTTTAATATGGTAGACCATCAAAATCCGATCGTATGCGAACAGACCTTAAGCTTATCTGTTATTCCACGTGATTTTCTTGAA